AGAGTTTAGTTTTTACACTAGTGCAGTATGCTCGTACCTAAATTCGGTGACTTTATTATCTAAAACTTGTTGTTTTTAGGCTAATATTATGATAAACCAATTTATAAACCCAAACACCTATAGCAATTATGGATTCATTGAAAAATGTTAAAGGCGATTCAAATGATTTTTAAATTTAAAAGACATAGAGATATAATACAACGCATGTACGTGCCAGAATAACATGAAGGTTATGGAGGTATATGAAAATTTAAAAATAATGAACATAAGGAGAAAACCAATTTTGAAGGTGAGACTACTTACGTAACTTCAGGCAGGAATACGACGCGTTATAAACTTTCCATAAGAAGATCCTGCATTAAGCCTAGTGATATTTACTAATATGTGGCAAAAGCAACTGGGACTAAGAAATGTCTTTAACAACACACTTTTAACAGTATGTTATAGTATAAAAGTATTAAATATATCTACCAAAAAGTCTTGGGAGTGGCTGCTTTGAAATATATACCACCAGTCTAATGGGAAAAATCTATATAAATCAAGAAGTGCTTAAATCATAGTAAATGAACCAAGAAAGTGAAAAAGGTCAAAACTTGCCTGGGTTATTCTCGCTTCCAAGTAATGGAAACTTGGATTAGACAGTGGTTTGAATCTGGATTACATACGAGGTACTTTTGATTAAATTTATGGATTAACACAGCATTGTAGACTGAATTTGTTCAAGTCCAAAATTAATTGAAACCGAAAATGAAGAATTAGATCCAGTTAAATATTTAGTCCTTGCTTACGTTGCTACTCGATGTATATTTACTTTATTTAAAGTCATATTTGCGAGAGCTTGGTGTTTGAACAAGTTTATTTCGCTGAAGCATGTAAATGCTATTAAAGCTTGTTAATAAACCATCAAAGCTAATAATTAATATAGATGACCAGTTTTTATTATTAAGCTATGAGTATTATTCAATATAACATTACGGTAATACTTTTGAGCATTAATCATAGGACTTTTAGAATAATGGGTTTACATAAGTAAAAATCGATCGAGAACGTCAGAGCGGAAATGAGGGTTAGTAGTAATACGCTGCGTTTATTTAGTCGGGCTTACCAATGTAGAATTATGGTCTACTTCTTTATTAGCACTGCTCTAATAATAGACCTAATCCTAAAATTGTAGGCTTGTCATGATATAACTGACCAATCTATAAGATCTTACGTAGAAGTCATGCCATCGTCTACACCAACTCATAGTATTGTAACAATCACCAATACATGATATAGAACAAGGTTAGGCTAGAGATAGAACAATATGTTTAGTATGAATAAAAGATATAAAATAACATTCAATTGGGACCACGCCTGCAAGGCCGAGCCATGTCATTCGATCAACTCCAATTAATCCAATTCATTGTTACCACCTTCTGCATCGTTTGGATCTTCCCGCGTTGCATGTCGAATATCTATTTCGCAGATTGTCCAGTTTTCAGCTTTGAAGACTGTGTAGCTAGGGCCCAACGCCACCGGAAACAGATGTGGAACGAATGGCTTCGTCCTACACCATCATCAAAGCCTCAGATATTCCAGAGGGATATAAGGTTGCGGTTTCTAGAAGCCTCCAACTTCACATGGATCTATTCTCAACCATCAGTTGCAAGTCGCAATGCAACCTTCATAAAGCTCACCAACTATGACAGTAACAATACGATCCTTAGAGTGGATTTATCCGCAATGTTTCTATGTAAACCTAATGTACTACCCAGTGTAATGACGGTCATGTATGCATTCATTTAATTACAGAATTTGTCGTTTTATGATATATTTTTTATCAAATAACTAGATTATGCTGTGAATTTCGCTGTGGTTGTAATTTTTATTCGCCACATCCGACTGCATTACACTGTACGTTTATTGCATGATGGGATGATATCCCAATTCACAATAAGTTTTATGATGTCGTTGATTGCCTCCAAATAGACCGTCACTGTATAATGTTACTGAAGAAAGGTTTGTTGTGCCGTAAACTTTGTTTTTATGAGCAAGTGACTGTTGTCTTCAGTCTCAAAACAATATCCTTTGTCTTCTGTTAGGTAAGTTTAACTGGCCTACAGTTAGTGTTTTGGGCCTGTCGGCTTAATTATGTAAAGTTAACTAATTTGAGTAACATGTCTGTGTATACCATCTACATTCATTTCTTATAAAATATCAACCCAGCTGAGTAATTTGCTACAGTAAAAACTGTATCCCTTGTAACAATTTGATCTTACATGTAAACTGGCATGCCTCATGTGACAAATTGTTATTTGGGAATAAAGTGTTATTATGATTACTGTAGTCGAAATACTGAAAAAAGGCTTTTACGACCTTAGCGGGAACCAATTTGTTAAACAGTGGACAGTATTGCCTTAGAAAAGAATTTTCTTGCACAACACACCTTATAGTAAGAGATGGATGGGTTTGCTAGATAATGGGAAGTTACTGGATGTGGTCTACATCGACTTTAGCAAAGCATTTTATAAGCTGCCACGCAATAGACTCTTTTTAAAGCTGGGAAATCCAGGAATTGCCGGACCTATTCTAAAGTAGATCAAAGATTCCTTGGCTGCTTTCAGGCAGAAAATAAGAGTAAATATCGAATATCTTTCGTGGAAACAAATGCTTACGTGAGTATTGTAAGCTTTGTTCCAGGTTTCTTACTTTCTAAACTGCATGTAAGCGGACACTTGTGCATCGTTATGTTCCTAATGTTACTTTACGCTTATGGTGAAGCAGTTTGAGAAGTAACAGGGGATCCAGGTGCATATGAACTAAAGGCCGTCTCAGACATTCTGGTTAGGTAGTTTAAGTTGTAGCTAATATCTGTCGTTGTGGTCAAGTGTGTTTACATGAGCATCAAATAACTAAAAATAACTAATCACAGCATTGGGAAAGCGTCAACGTCCTCAGTTCCGTCTCAAAATAATTTAGGAGTAATAGTGAGCCATGACTTTACGATGACGACCCACCGTTGTGTGGTTGCAGCTAAGAGGTTAAGAACCCTATGAGCTTTAAGTTGTGTGGAGGTTAATTCCTCACTATCTGACTCTAATAAATAGTATCCCATTAACTGAGCATTGACGCAGGCTAAATACCCTAGAAGTATCATTAATTTACTCGAGTTTATTCAAAAGCCCAAGCACCAATTGTAAAAATAGTTTGTTGTTCATGATTAGTGAAACTCGCAATCGTACAAACAGCAAGCAAACAGGAAAACAAGTGAGTGTTAACAATCCATATATATATATATATATATTCATGGGTGTTAATCGATTGTGGATAAATAATTGATTGTCTTTGTTCACAAACAATGAGAGAATAGATTGGAAACTGATGTGCAGAACGCGCTCAACCAGATCCATACATAATTTTACATAGTATACTCAATGCTAAATTACAGTGGGTAGACAAATAATACAATGGTTGACTACGCTTAATGCAGATGGACATTGCCAAATTCGATACAGATATGTTAACTACAGTATGCACGACCGTATTGCGATCCAAACATGAAAATTGAGTTCATGCAGCAAAACACTGCCTGAAAGGTGACTGAGATATGTTGGAAAAGGACGAAGGACAGTAACCTATACAATTTCGAAATCTCGAGGTTTACCATACAGGGTGTCTCGGTAGGTAAGTCCTCTTCAATCTACCCCACCGTAGATTAAGAGGTGATCTAATTTCCGTGTAATAAACACTAATACAACATTTTTGACTTGATCAATCCTTTGATTTTCCTCATAATAAACCAAGACAATTCAGAGGACATAACAGGTGAGTTCGAAGGCGAAGGATGAACAAAATACAGGTGGAACACAGGTGCTTCCATTGCATAATTAACTGTCGGAACCTGTTATCCGAGGAAGTAGTATAGACACTATAAGCCAATTAATTCAAGAAAAGACTAGATATACAGAAGGGCAGATCATCAGCTTCGATGATCTTTGTCGAATGAATGGGGGCCTACTCGAGTTAGAGGGGAATGGTGTGACGAAACAAATAAATCCGAAGTCGCACCTCGAGGTCAGAACCTAACGTGGATTACCCCTTCGTCGTATCAAGGTACTATGGATGTTTTGAAAGCCGTGCAACACAAAGGACGTTATTAGTGAAATATTAGTTAAAGTAGGTACAAGTGAAACTGCACCACCATCGCATGGGTCAGTGCGTTGCGTGCGATTAGCCGATGCGCGTTGGTTGTCCTTGACTTTGACAGGGATCGATGATCTATCCGATATTCAGTGACTCCAGCATTAATAATCTCCGTGATTGTAGCAAGAAGGTTCACAAGCCACAATCTAATGAACTCAAAGTAGGGTTTCGTCTTTCTCATCGAATAGTCAATGACTAAAACGCCTTACCCAAACAAGTGGTATTGGCCCCATCAGTTAATATTTTCAAAGAAAAGCTGGACCTTCATTGGAAGGAAATCTGTCAGGATTAACAAAGTGTAGTGTCAGTACTACGTTAAGCCCATATGCCTTATTCTATCTTTCGGACAAACCAATCTATTCATTCTATTTAAGTCACATTCTGACCTTGGTAATTATTTGCTCATCAGTCTTGGTTGTTTTTATATGGGCGCATATGTCTGTGTACACTTCTTATCCCATTACCCATCACATATTTGCAACTTGTTTTTGTGTGGCCATAAATATTGAATAATGCTTGACCAAAGGGATTTGGCTTACCTGCCATCTCCACTGAGTGTTGTGTCGCTTCTTTCTATTCCATTTGCTTCATGTACAAAATATATGTACTCAAAATTCCATTCTCGTTATTTGACTTATTTAATTCCTTTATCGACTAACGTGATTTAAGTCGATGATTATATGCGAGAACAGACGACATATATATTCCAACAACAATCATTCATAACGATGTACTCGGAGTAAGATCTCGGGACACTAAATCAGGTTCACCAACCTACTATCCTTATTACTGAAACTGAAGACTGAAGACTAAAGACACAATCTAAAGGCGGGCTCAATAAAGCTCATTCCTTTCCAAGGTCAAGAGGATACAGACAAAAAGTAGGTTATGATTTGTGTTAGGGATATACAGAAAAATAATTGTTTCAATATCAAGTCACAATTCACATGTTTTAGTTGTGTCAACGTGGCTTAGATGCTACCTAGTCTTTCGGCGTTAAATTCACATGTGCACTCTAGTACTAGAGTGTTTCGGTTTCCTGAAGGTTCATTATCTCCTTTGTCAAATAAATTATAAAGTCTATGACGCTTGTGTGCACCAGCGTTTAGCAGAAAGGATCTTCAAGACTACTGGATAAAGAGTTTTGTTGGACTCTGTCGGACGAACGCGATGCCAGTTCTGACTTTTTGCTACGCGAATCTCAGGACTGTCTAGATTCTGAAACACCCGAATTCCATTAGGTTTTGGCCATAAAGGTGTTGGGCAAGGTAGTAGTCTAAATACTAATTGGTGTAGTGTGGTGACTTTGTCTTTGGGTTTAGTCCTTCGTTGAGAATAGGCTGTCGAGTAAAGAGTGTTCCGAAGTGATCAACCACACCTGCTTTGTCCTGGTCTACCTTTATCTTTTGGGATTCACTCCGTTTTGTTATTGGATTGGGAGTCCAAAAATGAGTCTTTGTTCTGTGGTTGATATAAGCGAATAGTCGCTTCGGTTTCTTCAGTCTTCAGCAATAAGAATAGTAGGTTGGTGAACCTGTGTTAATAATGACAGATTGCCTTCTAGTGAAGGTCCAGCTTCTCCTAGAAAATATTCAGTGATGGGGCTGATACCATTTGTTCGGGTAAGGCGTCCCAGTCATTGACTACTCGATGAGAAAAACGGGACCCCACTTTACGTTTATTAGGTCTTGGTTTAAGAACCTTCTTGCTATGACCGCGGAGATTATAAGTGCTGGAGGGAGCAAAAAGATAAGACATATTATTATCCAAATAATAATTAAAGATATGAAATGCCAGTATAAGATCACCTCGTGTCCTACGATACGACAAGGGGAAAAGATTTAGGCGTTTTAAAAGCTCATCGTAAGGGAGTTTAGAAAGACCCTTCACTAATTTTGTTCCCACACGCTAAAGCGAGTTAGTATCTTTTATCAGACATGGGATAGCTGCTTGGATATAGTACTTTAAGTATGGTCTTACATAGGTGAGATATAAAATTCGAAACATTTTCTCGTCATAGCTTTAAATGCTCGGCGAAGTGACTATAACGCACGAAAACGTTTGACAGCAGCTGCGTTGCATTGAGTAGTCTTTATATTCTTGAAAGCGTGTAAGAAATGTGCCACCAATATTATACTGGTAACTATTACCGTGTACGACGTGAATGAGTACACTCTTCCTAGAAATAACTTCTAAGCCTCAACCTTAAGCCCATCTGGTTAATTCGTTTAGGTCAACTCAGAGATCGAAATGATCAGCCTCACTTCTGACTGTTCCCCAGATTTTGACATCATTCGCAAACAATAATGTCGACGACTTAAGCAATCACGGCATTTTATTAACGTAGAGAAGAAAGAGTAGGAGACTTGATATAGTGCATTAGGGTACATCACTTTTGACCAGTTTCCATTCGGATAACGTTCCATTAACCTGCACTCTCTGTCTGTGATCACACAAGAAGTTTTCTCACCATTCCTGTACATCACCTGTTATCACGAAGCTCGAGAGATTCTGCATATAACCTTTTTGTGAAAACTTGTCAAACGCTTTGTTAAAGTCTATGAATATCACATTGACAGACAGACCATTATCTAGGGATGCCGTCTAATCCTCTCTCGCTATAAGTTAGTTGAGCATGAATGCTTGTTTCAAAACCCGTGTTACTCGGGAGTTAACAAATTGTAAGAATCTATGTGACTTGGCAAGTTAACCCGAATTATCTCAAATAAATTAAGGACTATGCTGGTAAGACTGGAAAGTCGGTAGTTAGATACGATCTGTCTCTGACCATCCTTAAATATAGGACTGACTATAGCGTCCTTTCAATCTCTAGAGAGTTGAGCCAGTGAAAGGGATATGTTGAAGAGCATCGCGAGTGATCTTGAAATGATGTCCGCGAGGGATGACGGTAGTCGTGGATGTAACCCATCAGGGCCTGGCATCTTAAAGGTTTGAGGTTAGTGACCAATAGAAGAAAAGATTCCTCAGTCACATATACAGATTCAATGGATGGTATCTCGGTGTGATTGGGACAAGTATTTGTAACAATACACATAGAGTAGACTTCGCTAAAATAGTTTGAAAAAGTCTCAGCTTTTGCCCGATCTGATTCAGCCAGTAAATCTGAGTTTTCGTGTAACAACAATGAGGGAACACCATCACTATCTTTTGTTCGCTGTTTAACATACAAAAACAACCGTTTCGGACACGTACGGCTATCATGTGCCAACTGTCGTCCGTTAGTAGTACGGGATTTAGCTTTAGTCTTTTTAAAAATATTCCGGATTTTTTGGTATTCATACTTGAATGATGCGTGTCCTGTCGACAGGAATAAGTCCCAGAAGTGTTTCCTACGCTTCAACAGCTTCCGAATTTTCTTATTAATCCATGGAGGGCAATGTGATAGCTTACGTGTTGACCTTGGGATAAACGGTGATGTTACGGACTCAAATTTGGCCTTAAATGTATTACATTCGTCTTCGGTCGATCAATCCACGTCGACCGAACAGTCAGTCGAGATAGCACAGTCTCTGATTGCCGGAATATTAGCTCGCCAGATATGGGGACGGGATGGGGCAGATACAAATTGTATACCATGTGTCCTAAACTTAAAGTAAGGTACAACGTGATCACCATTCACTAGTGGGGGAAGGTGCCGAATGTAGATGACATCCTCACAGTGGTGTGTGATGACAAGGTCCAGCAATGACGGGTCATATTCCAAGTCAATATGTGTCGGTTTTGTGATACATTGTACAAGTGCACACTGAATAATGGTTGATAGAAGCTCGCTATCGAAACCCCCACCTGGAGATATAAGCTCTATTCAGTTGATATACGGTGCGTTGAAGTCTCCAGTGATGGGACAACATTCTGCCATACTCCAAGAACAGATGTGTCTTAAGATAAAGTCGTCAACCAGACAATACGGACTACGGTATATTCCTCCTATAGTCACCAACCCATTTCTAGATTTAATCTTACAACATGCTACCTCACATGTACCACTAGTATGCGCCTCCGATATGATTAATTGTATACGAAAGTGATCACTAACGTATAATATTATGCCTCCTCCCTATCACTTCTAATACAGAAGTAACCTGCAGTGATGGAAGAACAGTCTATATCTACGATGAACCAAGTTTCTGTAACAACGATTATATCGGGGCTTAATTCATCCACTATCAAACTTAGCTCGGACGTTTTATTTCGAAAACTACGAGCGTTCGTATAACACAGTTTTAGGGTGCTTTGGGAATCATTCGTTTTACCTATACAAGTTTCGGGAGCATTGGCTCCCAAAACCTGACTACCCAAAATCCCTTAATCTTAAGGTTCGTTTTGCCATTTAGCATTCGAGTTCTTAACTCTGTACGAGCATTCTTCCACTTCATTCGATCCTCAAGAGACCAATCTGGTCGGATACGAATATTTGAATCACGAGTTTTGGGTGCGTTATTCAATATCATGTCGGAATTCCCGAATACCAACTTCAAGATCCTTCTTGGTTGTGTCTGGCCTCCGACCCATTTACCGAGTCTTATTACCTTTGTTATATGCACCCCTGGAACCTCTTCAAGCAGTACATTTCAGACTACAGATTTCACTAACTGCAGACCGTCTGCATGTCTTTTATTAAGGTCATTATCTTTCAACTCCTCTAGATTCCAAATAATTAAACTAGGAAGGGGTTTGACTTTTTTGAAAATCGTATTCACAGCTTTCGACTGTGATGTCAGATCCTGCATATTAACTGCTGGCATATTACCGTTAGATTTCTTTGTAACAGATTCGAGCGAATGACTCACAACAATGTTTGATGAGGTCTTATTTTGGGACTTTGGCTATCTTTCCTACTCTTCTACGTTCACGTGTCATCCATTTTCCATCAGTCGCAACGTCTACATCGAAACTACTCGGGACGGTAATGATTTCGCCAGGATCGTCAGTCGCTGTTCTAGCAACTTGGCCACCAATATCTAATGGCGTATTGCTCCTTAAATGTTCCGGGGTTACAGATTGTGTCAACTGCTTTCCGTATTTCCGCTGAGCTGTTCGGATTGTGTTTATACACTTGTTTCGGAACAACTTGTGTTCACTGTCCCAAGGTTGATGTTGACGTCCCAACGTTTTTTATTTTGTCTTGGCAAACATGGGATTTCCCGGTCTATCCGGAGATGACCGTGAATTTTCTTCTTTGGATCTTCCAAAGGTATAGATGTTTGAATTACGTTTTTTATAACTACTGGACGTGGTTTTATGCCTCCCACAATAATACGTGAAGTCGATTTTTCAGTACTCAGTGTAGTCTGCAGAACTGATCGCCTTCATATCTTCCTTCCATATAGTAGAATGCGCTTGCGCATCTGCTTTAAGAGTAGAAGATATTCGTAGGTTACTAGTTTTCGATCATAGATGTCTTCGAAGCATTGCTCGTATATCCTAGGACCACCGTGTAAGTAATGCAGTTGCTAGGAAACGGGTACTAGGTAAGGATGGCAAATCAATTGATGAAGTAGTGAAACTTCATCAGTTAAGATGGCTGGGACACGTGTTACGTATGCCCAACGACCGACTGCCCTGACGTGCGATGTTCATTGGTATAGGAGTAGGTTGGAAGAAAGATAGGAGCGGCCAGACCAAAACATGGCACAAATCCATGAAGTCATTGACAAGTGGACTGAGTCATGTTGGTAGGTGTAGACTACCTGGTCGGGATCCGCGAGACGATGGCAACCGATGGTTAGAGACCCTGAATGACATGGCTCAAAATCGTTTGCAATGGCGCAGGTGCATCCACTCTTTGTGTTCTCCCAAATTCTAATCTTCTGAATTCTTCATGTCCCTTTTTTCCTCTTTCCAAATTTATTTCACTGTATTATACTCTTTAAATAACATCTCCAAACCCTAATCTTCCCGATTACTGCTTATACTCTTGCTACCTCTACCACTACGGGATTTGAATCGACAATTGTATCTGTGTGCTAATGTGGTATGGCAACTCGAACTGATGTACGTACGTACGAAGTTCTACGTTGTTGCTGACTTACTGACTTGCGCATCTGGTCGGCAAACTTCAGCAACAATGAACTTGAGTTACATGGCCGCATGTTTACTTCTCTTCATAAGTGAACGGTCGTTTATTTGTCTGATCGTCATCGTGAGTGATGACGAAGTCCGGTACGTGAGACTATAGTAGTCCATATGTGGTGAGATCTCCAATGTCCTGAGATAAAGATAGAGCGATTGTGGTTTCTAAGAAATTGTAATCAAATGGTTTTTTTGGTGAGCCTTTTCCAAGGCTTCCCAGTTCTTAGAGGGTGCATCGAAATCGCATACTATCAAGCTATATTTATGTGTTAAAACAAATAGATAACTATTAAGCTTCTACACCTGTTTGACCATGATTTTAGTTTACTTAGGAAGAAGCTACTACTACACATTCAGGACTACGGTTCCAGTCAGTCAGCTAAAACTTAGGACCATGCACATATATGCATCGTTTCAAGTCGCCATACCTCATTAGCACAACAAGATCAACACCAAACTAGTAGTAGTTACTTCGGTGACAGTAATATATTAAAGATTGCATATATGTATATAATACAGGGGGAAGGAATTAGTTCGTAGAAAGAAAGATATGAAGCGATTTTAATCTCACGGTTTGAGGGAAGACAAAGAGTGTATGCACCTACGCAACTGTGTCTCCAACCAATGGTTACGATAGTCGCGCGAACCCCAACCAAGTAATCTGAATCTACCAACACGGCTCAGACCCCAAGTTAGTGACTTTATGAACTGATGCCACATTTATAGTCTTCTTCACCCTAACGGGTCACTTATTCATTTTAGTAATGAATCGCACTTAGGATATACACTTATGACTGAGTGTTAAAGAGCTCGCACAGAAGTCTGTGGAGACTCACAGTTCAAAATAGTGAGTTGTGGGATTCTCTATAGGAAGTTATAGTGGTGAAGCCCTCTGCTGAGTCTTTCAAAAGAAGGCTCAAATATGATTTTAGTTCTGTAGATAATAAAAGGGACTACTTTGGATGTTACTTTTTGACTACTACTACTTTCAACTCAATTGTTTTGTCCTTCAGTTTCTAGTAGGAATATAACAAGAACCATGTATTCCCACTATCAAAATGTTCTTTTAATACCTAGACGCAGGTCTCAAAGAACAAACAGTTAGCCAATTTGCCAAGTGAGGGCGACTGTCAACGTACGTCTCTGAAAAATGATTTGTAGGCTGTGCTAGTTACTTCTAATAACACATGTAGTCTAAAGCACTTTCAGTTGAAGCTCTCGTTATGCGATAAATTTTTGGGTTTCAGTTCATCATCCTAAACCGTTTTCAGTAAGTGCTTTGCTAATTAATTTTATGCTTGTAATTCTAAAAAGTATATTTCCATCTTAGGTCTTTTAGGAAAGTATTGGTAATTGACTGTCTAATAAGAAAATAACTCATTATCAATTGTTTGTTGGGATTATCATCGTCCTGATTACAAAGAAAGATGCCAACAGTAGATAGAGCTTTGGCCTTGTTAAGAAAATATCCTCGAGTTTCTCCTCAGAATATATCTGATCTTCCAGGAAGCAAACCACCCGTAAGAAAATTGATATATATATCTTCATTGGTAGTAGAAGTATCACGGTTTGAAACGAATGCGAAGAGGTCTTGGTCATCGTGGTGCTTCCCAGTTTCAAGCATTCCCACCCTTGGGAATTTTGGGTGCAAAGACACCATTTTATCTTTCTGTTCCTAAAGAACCTTACAACATTAACAGCATGTAAGTAAATGCATAGTTATTCTTACAAACCAAGGTCTGAAAACAATCTTCACCGTATTTCGCTTCTAGAGCTTCAAAGACTGATAGACCTTAATCGAATAAATCCACTAGAGCCTATTGACATTTCCACACTATGCAACACCAATCTTTACCGGTTAAACGTGGATCATGATCGACAATATGGTTTCCATCTAACTGACGAAGTAAGGTTGTGTGATAAACTGTTTAAACAATTGTAGGGTATCGATAACTTTGTTACTCCTGTTAATATTGAAGTTCAGTATGCTAGCGAAGAAGTAATTGCAGCTGTGGAAAGAGTAGGGGGAATAATCTGTAACCGTTATTATGATCTGTATTCCGTTTGGGTAAAATCTGACCCTCAAGGATTCTTCATGAAGGGCATTCCGATCCCAAAAGCTAAATTGCCTCCTAATGTAAGTCACAAAACGATTTCCTGTTTCATGTAGCTAGTATGTGTTTTATATGTTAAAAACAACATTAATTATCTTGAACGTGCAGATGAACCTTTACGCCATGTGTCGGTAAAATACTATTGTTAGTTACATTTTGTTATACTTTTTAACTTTTGTGCGCTAATCAAGGACGCTCTTTCAACTAGTACTTTGCAGATTCTTATCCTTTCTCTTGCTATACATGTTGACTTCGTTTCTTATCAAATTTTCTTTTTAATTGAAACTTATCCTTAGTTAATGGTAAATTATTTACCTAAGTGTTGTACGGGTTTCATAAAATGATGGTGTATTAATCCATAACGACAGGTTTTCGTTCAACATGCTTTATGTATTTTTTTAAGCACATTTAGTCTCAAAATGCGCACTAAAAGTCGGATTTTTACTGTACTAATCCCTTGGAAATTCTTCCGAAGAAACAAACAATTTTGGTTGTACCAATTGAAGTGGTGGTGAGTATCTATCAGTGTTTTTTGGAAGGTTCCCAAGTACACCTTTCAACTTGTTTTTATAATACTGAAAGCTTCCCATCAGAATAAGATGTTTCGTCCGGTCACTGCACAAACCGATAAGAGAGGTCAATTATTCTATCAACATCCAATGTGCCCACATCCACAAACACTTTCAACTAAACACAGATTACCATATGTGGCCATCATCAGTCCCTTTTTTATGTAAACGTAGCTCTATAAGACAATTCTCCCTAGTATTTATGTACTTACTGACTGCATAGTTCGAAGTCGAATGAATGTATTTAACGTAAACTGCATGTAACTTACATTTCAGTTATGAAAGACAAATGATAAATGGATCCCATAGGATTTGCCGACACTTGTGTGTTCTTTGCTTTTGTCGGCACTTAATAGACACTTTCTTTTGTAAAAAATATCTTGAAGACAGCAAGGACAATATAGTTAACTCTATTGAAATCTTCGTTACATCATGATACACATCTTCATCCTTAATCAACTTTGTATGTATAAGCTGTAAGCAGCTGATGAAAACCTAACGTAATAAAATGAATTCATATTATTTTGTATCAATCTTCGTTCTTGCTCTCTTTAAGATAATAGAGGGAACTATGTGTATGAAATGGCTTGAAATAAAAAATATAGTTCATTTACCAAGTGCAAGTTCATATACTCGGTTTTGATCTACAATTTTTGTATGAAACCTAATAATACTACTCCGCTGCCAAAACAAAACTGGTGAAACTATAATTTATGGACGAACCAATGAGATTTTATTTAGAAAGTGTTAGATTTTAGCGCGAAAATCATTCATCCATGTGGCTAAATAGCATTTTAGCATTATAGCTGATATAGGTTAATAACCAAAACCCTTATTTGCAACTCTAAACTCTAATTTCTCACTTTTATTTATAACCCTTTCAACTCCAGTAAGTGAATTTCCTCAAATTCACCCTAACATCTCTAAAAGGTTGTCCGTATACTATGGTTTCACTCAGTAATAGTTGGTTTGAATTCCCTGCCCGAACAATATGTATCTCATATTTTGACGATAATTCCGAGAATGGACTTTTTGAATTAGAGTTTCTAGTGAAAAAACAAAAGTCTTCCACATTTAATGATGAACCACTACCACTCTATAGCAAGAAAATATCAACTGACAACTTAATTTCAACATCCTTTATTTCTCAAGAGGTTTGCAGACAATGCAGCTAAAAGTAAATGACACAAAATCTGCCTTCTAGTGTTGGCTCTATCAAAAGATGTCAAACGTTTGAAAAGGGCAAAAAATTGTAGCTCATATTTGAACGGATAGGTAGGATGGCTAAAGTACGAATCTAGACGGTGTTCCGTGATGAAACACGATTATTAATCTGATTCTAGTTAACTTTCTGGGCAGGATCTTCAGGATTTTAAGAACCAGTGATCAATAACAGTTCGAATTCGACCACAGTACCACAAATGCACCATTTGCCTTTTACCTAGATTTTGAGTGTAATATTTTTCTTCCATTAATCTCTCTCTACTCATATTTCTTAGTTGTTTCAGAGTAACATGATCTGAACGGAAGTAGATTTTTGCGGTTTTCCAAGTCTATCTTTCATACTTTTTTGAAAATCAGGAATTCGTAGCCATTACAAATATCCAACCGCTGATATATATATATATATATACCGAATTAAAACTGGAATTTGATAATAACTCAAGTTTAAGTGTAATGTTGTAGTTTGTGAAACAGCAGAAAATGGAGATCACAAACCTAATGTTAGGCAGTTGAAGAAAATCAGCATCTAGCCTTAAATGTCTGTATTGTGCTAGTAGTAACTCATTAAAGAGTTGGGTCCTCAATCTTGAGAACGCCGATGCTCTCCGTATGGTTCGAGCCCGCGCCACCCAATGTCACAGTATGTGTTGCAACGCAGATTTTACTTTATTACTATACACTACAATTTATTTCTATTCATCTGATACTGATGAATTTATCATCTGCGAATAAGGTAGTAATATATTGTTTTCTGGCTACTCCTCTTTAGTAAACATTTAATTAAGTTTTACGGTGCGGTAAAATCTCACGAGTTTATTCGTAGACACATTGTCGTTGGTTTCTCTCAGACATTGTAAATTTTTATTTTGCCATAAACCTTGAATTCATACCTGGTTAAATAAGCGACTAAATCCAGGGTATTTCTTCATTACCTCGAAAACCAATTTTCATTTTAAATTGCCCCGTCTTAAGGTTCATCATTAATCTATTACTGGTCACTGCACAAATATAGCTAGAAGTATCAAATTTAATATAGCTAAATATCAATGTACTGTGTGTTTAATGGGTGAACATACTCATTTTAAATTCTTCATATTGAATCTATAGTTAAATCTCATTTTGGGCATATCACTTTAAAAAAGTGTTGCCATTTAGGGATTTTTAGTTTGTTATTATCTTATTATTATGAGTCAGATAATATCGCAGTAGAAAAATATCAGAATCTGGTTTACACCATGTTACCATCGTTCGGTATTTGATCATTATTCTTTGATTTTAAATATATTTTGCTTCTTATAGGCGTTGATTCCATTCTACGCAAACGCTGAGTCTCGAGGTTATCTGGCGGACCCTGAGGAAGTGGCGAAATCTCGAATTTGGCTGGCTCAAAAGTATGGTTATCACCCAATCGATTTTAGTTCATCCTCGGAATCCACTCGAAAGCTGATGTCTATGCGGAAAGATCCTCGACAAATATTTCATGGACTGGAACCTGGTTGGCTTGTCAGTATTCCTGACAAAGCGGTTTTAAAGCCAAAATCTGATCTCCTTGATGCCTACCACAAATCCTGATTCCCCCAGTATTTTATAAAATGCATTTTGGAAGTTATACTGTGGATAGATGCATGTTAATTACAAATAATAAATAGTACATCCAGTTTTAAAAATCCTGTGCATAATTATGTAATGTAAGTTTATGTGATTAGCAAATCACTGAAAGTTCTAAAAATGTTAAGAGAAGTTAAGGTTTCTGGACTCTGCTGCGTCCTATATATATGGCAGCAAAAATTGATTGATAGCAGAAAAATTCCTTTACCTAGTTTTACCATAATCAAAAATGTAATTGAATTCGATTGTGTATGTTGGAACGACACAATGGACAATCAAGAACATTTTCAGAACATTTCTTGCAACAACAGACATGACCACATGGAAGGAATATCGTTGAGCACTGTACTTGGAATAAACAAAAAGTATGAAAGTTAATGAAAATTTAAGAGTTAAAAACGGTAGGACATCAGTCTTAAGCTACATACAGCATGACACAAATCTGCGTTCGATCAAAATACCACACTAAATTAGCACAAGATGAAATTAACGGAATGAATGGCAACAGAGTTAGAATGATTGCAGCAGCACTGTGATAATGAGAAAAACTATGCATTGGAGATTATGGTTTGGAAAGACTGCTAGGGTACACATGAAGAGAGATGCCGGAACTCAAGATTCAGGAGAAGATAAAGCAAATGCATCCGCGCCACTGCGACAGACACACACGGCTATCACATACCAATTGTGATTTCAAATGTTCCACTAAATAGTAATTCTTAGAAATTTCTGAGACCTGTAGAGATCTATACTTAAAATATCGGGTTCTATTCAGTACTTTTTAAAAATCGTATACGTTGAAGTTACAGTTATTTCATATATCAGTGTTATGAAATTTAGCTTTAAGTGTTTTTTAAATTGAGGAAGCGACCACTAGGATTGAACCTTTGTTTCTATGACTAATTACTGAGGGCATAAGAATTTGCGGCGAGACCATAATTTATGGACGAACCAATGAGATTTAATTCAACAAGTCTTGGGTTTTAGCGCGAAAATCATTGATCCATGTGGCCAAATAACATTTTTACATTATAGCTGATGTCAGTTTGTGATGAAAACCATGACATCCAACTGCAAGTTTTAATTGTAGTTCCGCAAACTGCTTTATAACCCTAGAAGGTAAACTTTCTCAAGGCCACTTTGTCGTCGTCCAAATCTCGTCCATAAATTATAGTCTTACTGAATTCGCTTTATTGTGTGAATGAATATATACCGTTTCACTAAAAATTCGGTAAAACAACTTTTATCACTTCTCCAAAGACAACATTACCCTATATGGCTATTTCTTTATATATATATCTGTGAGAATTGGCCTGATAATTATCTAACGCTTAATTAAAGCTCAAAAACGGGAAATCAAAAAGGCATCAGATTTGATCGAGAAAACATTGACTTAAATCTTTAAACATAGAACAACATCGCATTGTGGCCCCATACTTTTTGATGATCAACGCAGTCAGTTGAAGGATTTGTTAGTCGAAATTTTGTTAGTATTAAAAATGTACTCAGAAACATTAATAAAATGTGTAAAGTCAGTCAGTAACAAAGTAGAACTTCGTACGTACGTACATCAGTTCGAGTTGCCATACCACATTAGCACACAGATACAATTGTCGATTCAAATCCCGTAGTGGTAGAGGTAGCAAGAGTATAAGCAGTAATCGGGAAGATTAGGGTTTGGAGATGTTATTTAAAGAGTATAATACAGTGAAATAAATTTGGAAAGAGAAAAGAGCGGGATATGAAAAATTCAGAAGATTAGAATTTGGGAGAACACGAAGAGTGGATGCACCTGCGCCATTTCAAACGATTTTGAGCCATGTCATTCAGGGTCTCTAACCATCGGTTGCTATCATTTCGTGGTCCCCAACCAGGTAGTCTACACCTACCAACATGACTCAGTCCACTTGTCAATGACTTCATGGATTTGTGCCATGTTTTGGTCTGGCCGCCCCTAATTTCCTGCCAACCCACTTCTACACCATAAAACACCGCACCTCGGGCAGTCGGTCGTTGGGCATACGTAACAGATGTCCCAGCCATCTCAACTGATGAAGTTTCACGACGTCATCAATTGATTTGCCATCCTTACCTAGTACCCGTTTCCTAACAACTGCATTACTTAGTCGGTGGTCCTGGGATATACGAGCAATATTTCGAAGACACCTATGATCAAATACTAGTAACCTACGGATATCCTCTACTCTTACCGGCAATGTTTCACTGCCATAAAGTAGGACGGAACGAACTGCTACGCAGTAAACACGTCCTTTGGTTGATAGACGGAGATGTCGCCTACGCCATAAATGACACAAGTTGGCAAAAGCTAGTCGAGCCTTCTGTATCCGTGCTGAGATTTCGTCACACACCAGACCACAAGAGCTGATGAGACTTCCAAGATAAGTGAAGCGGTCGACACACCCAACTACTCCACTACCTATCACTAGTTCGGGTGTCGATGTAACCCAATCCTGAAGCAACATTTTGCATTTCGAGGGAGAGAATCACATCCCGAACATGCTTGCATTGTTGCTTAGAGTGGTCAGGAGACCGCATTTTGGTAAGTCTTCACCAAATAGAACTATGTCATCTGCATATTCTAAGTCAACAAGTGAACCTCCCGTTAGAAGTTCAACCCCTGGATATTTAGATGAGGAGAGTGTTATCTCTAAAAGTACGTCGACGACAAAGTTAAACAAGAATGAAGAGAGTGAACAGCCCTGACAAACACCAATTGAGGTAATCAATTCTGATGACAGTTCGCCATAAGCTCTCACTCTACCAGTTGTGTTCGAGTAGAGAGCCTGTATAAGGTTAATGTACTTCTTTGGTACTCCTTTCAGTGACAAACACTGCCATAGAACCTCATGTTCAACAGAGTCGAATGCCGCCTTAAGGTCGAGAAATACTACGATTGTGGGGCGTCTGAATGTGTGTCTGTATTCTAGAACCTGACGTAGTGTGAATATCTGATCTATACAACCACGTCCAGGTCGAAAATCAGCCTGATTTTCTCTAGTCTGCTCTTCACGAGCTTTAGTTAGGCGTCGAAGTATTATTGAAGCTAATATTTTAGACATTATATTAGTCAACCTGATTCCTCTCTGATTGTCACAGGAGGACTTTAGTCCTTTCTTGTAGACTGGCACAATCAGTGATTGAGACCAGTCAGATGGGATTGCGTCCAGTTCCCAAATTCTACCTAAGACCTCAGTTAATCTCACTGCTAATACTGGACCACCATCCTTAAAAATCTCAGGAGTAAACCTGTCATGGTCTGCTGCTCTCCCTTGTTTCAGATTTCCTATGGCTTTTTCAACTTCGTAAAGAGACGGAGGACCTACACTAACTTGCCATTCAGGTTGACTGAAGATCGTGGGAAACCGAAGTGTGTCTGAAGGCCAGTTGAACTGATCCCTAAAGTGTTCTGCCCATCGATCCAATCTCCTGGATTGAGAATGTATAATATGTCCATCTTTCTCTGAGATTGTTTCGCTAACGGTCGGGTTCCTAATTCCGGTTTCCTGGACAAGTCTGAACAGTTGTCTGCTATTACCTATTGCGGCTGCCTTTTCCATCTCTCTTGCTTTCGCTACCCACCACTGTTCGCGGTCATTGCGTAGACTTCTTGTGCTTAAGCTGACTCCGCTCTTCATTATGTTCAAAGCCAGATGGAATGAGTTTCCGAGCATCTATCAGTGCGATAGATGCTGCTGAGATCCAGTGTTGTTCCCTAACCTTACGGTTTACCTTACTAGCAGATATCACTGCAGTTTCCACAGCTTTTCGAATATCGTTCCATGCTGCCTCGGGGTGGGCATCACATAAATGTCTGCCTATTTATTTATTTATTTGGACACATGAATATTGGTACAAGAGAGCGCCAATATATATGCGCCACACAAAACAATGAAAATTCGAGAGGAATACAAAGAAGAAAAAAAGCTAAGAAGCGCAACAAAAAAAGAAAGAACAATAACGAAGAGATTGGTGTCAGTAATGCAGAGGTTCGGCATCGTGTGTTCGGGCACAGAGATGATAACTCAATTGGTGTCACCATCTTGAAACACCGACTTCGGTGGCTTGGACATGTTCTCCGAATGTCGTCCCAGAGAATTCCACGTCGTGCATTATTTGCCGACTCTGGGACTGGTTGGAAGAAGCGGAGAGGTGGTCAGTGCATGACATGGTGTCGTGGCATGAAAGAAAGCTGCAAAGGACTGGCTTGTGTTGGTCCTTCACGACTCCCTGGTTGGGGTCCGAGAGATGGTGCTACACAGTGGCTAGAGACGTTATCAGATATGGCTCAGAATAGAAGCCAGTGGCGATCCTGCTGTAACCTTCTTTTACTTTCTTTATAAAAAGTGGTTGTGTCTCCTTTACCTGAAAGATTTCTTCTGATTGTACCTTTTCGTTCCGTCGTTACTACCACACTACCTTACTCCAATCTCTTCGTCATTGTTCTCTTTTTCTTTTGCGTTCCTTAGTTTTTTTTCTCTTTCTACTTCTCTTCGAATTCCCATTGTTTTGTGTGGCGCATATATATTGGCGCTCTCTTGTACCAATACTTATGTGTTCAAATAAATAAATAAATAATAAGAGATTGGTGTAAGGTAATGTGCTAGTAATCAGGGAACGCAAAGGTACAATCGGAAGAAATCTTTCAGGTAAGGGAGACAGAACCACCTTTTATGAAGAAAGTGAAAGAAGGTTACAGCAGGATCGCCACTGGCTTCTATTCTGAGCCATATCTGATAACGTCTCTAGTCACTGTGTAGCACCATCTCTCGGACCCCAACCAGGGAGTCGTGAAGGACCAACACAAGCCAGTCCTTTGCAGCTTTCTTTCATGCCACGACACCATGTCATGCACTGACCACCTCTCCGCTTCTTCCAACCAGTCCCAGAGTCGGCAAATAATGCACGACGTGGAATTCTCTGGGACGACATTCGGAGAACATGTCCAAGCCACCGAAGTCGGTGTTTCAAGATGGTGACACCAATTGAGTTATCATCTCTGTGCCCGAACACACGATGCCGAACATCTGCATTACTGACATGGTGTTGCTACTGAATGTCAGCAATCCTTCGGAGTCAGCGATGATCGAACACAGAGAGTCGTCTAACGTCCTCAACTCGGAGAGACCAGGTTTCACAAGCATAGAGAAAAACTGGTCTCACCGACGCGTTGTAAATCCGACCTTTTACGGCCAGACTAACATCACGAAGGCGCCAAAGATAGCCCGGATTGGCATAAGCCGCTCTGGCTTTCACTATTCGTGCATTGATCTCATCACTCACACCCCCACCAGCACTTATGCAGCTACCCAGATACACGAACTTCTCGACTATTTCTATCTGCTCATCATCCAGGGTGAGTACAGGATTAGGATCCTGTCAGTCTTGTAGAAGTACTTTGCGTTTCGAAGGTGCAAAGCACATACCATACCTACGGACACTGATTGTCAACTGATTATTTATTTTTTATTTGAACACATAAATATTGGTACAAGAGAGCGCCAATATATATGCGCCACACAAAACAATGGGAATTCGAAGAGAAGTAGAAAGAAAAAAAAAACTAAGGAACGCAAAAGAAAAAGAGAGTAATGACGAAGAGGTACAATCAGAAGAAATCTTTCAGGTAAAGGAGACACAACCACTTTTTATGAAGAAAGTAGAAGAAGGTTACAGCAGGATCGCCACTGGCTTCTATTCTGAGCCATATCTGATAACGTCTCTAGCCACTGTGTTGCACCATCTCTCGGACCCCAACCAGGGAGTCGTGAAGGACCAACACAAGCCAGTCCTTTGCAGCTTTCTTTCATGCCACGACACCATGTCATGCACTGACCACCTCTCCGCTTCTTCCAACCAGTCCCAGAGTCGGCAAATAATGCACGACGTGGAATTCTCTGGGACGACATTCGGAGAACGTGTCCAAGCCACCGAAGTCGGTGTTTCAAAATGGTGACACCAATTGAATTATCATCTCTGTGCCCGAACACACGATGCCGAACCTCTGCATTACTGACATGGTGTTGCCACTGAATGTCAGCAATCCTTCGGAGACAGCGATGATCGAACACAGAGAGTCGTCTAACGTCCTCAACTCGGAGAGGCCAGGTTTCACAAGCATAGAGCAAAACTGCTCTCACCGACGCGTTGTAGATCCGGCCTTTTACAGCCAGACTAACATCACGAAGGCGCCAAAGGTGGCCCAGATTGGCATAAGCCGCTCTGGCTTTCACTATTCGTGCATTGATCTCATCACTCACACCCCCACCAGCACTTATGCAGCTACCCAGATACACGAACTTCTCGACTACGTCTATCTGCTCACCATCCAGGGTGAGTACAGGATTGGAATCCTGCCAGTCTTGTAGGAGTACTTTGCGTTTCGAAGGTGCAAAGCACATACCATACCTACGGACACTGATTGCCAACTGATTACGTGCGGATTGCATGCCTTGGGCATTATCGCACAGTAAGACAATATCGTCCGCATACTCAAGGTCGAGAAGTCTTTCTCCAGGCAACAGATCCACACCACCATTACTTACATTCATCAGAGCTGTTTCCAGAATGTCATCGATGGCAAAGTTGAAGAGGAATGGTGAGATTGGGCAACCCTGCCTAACCCCACTACTCGAATGGAGCAATGGAGAAAGGTGGTTGTATGCCCTCACTCTGCCTGAGGTGTTTTTATATAGGGCTTTTAGGATGTTAATAAACTTTTCAGGCACACCCTTCTTCTATAGACAATCCCAGAGAACAGTTCTGTCCAACGAATCGAAGGCAGCCCTGATGTCAAGAAACACTACGATTGTTGGCCTTTGATAAGTATGGCGATGTTCTAACATTTGGCGGAGGGTGAAGATATGATCAATACATCCTCGACCAGAACGAAACCCAGCCTGCTCCTCGCGAGTCAATCTTTCTCGGGTTTTGAACAACCTACGAAGTATGATGGAAGCCAATAGCTTGGACGCAATCGGAAGTAGACTTATCCCCCGATAGTTGTTACAGGAACGACGTGAACCCTTTTTAAAGATAGGGACAACTATCGACTCATTCCATGACGTTGGTACACTCTCTAGTTCCCAAACCTTTGTAAACAACGTCGTCAATTCCTTAGTCAAAAAGTCACCACCATCTTTAAAAAGAGCCGGAGGTAAGTCATCTAGGCCAGGTGATTTGTAACGCTTCAAGAGTTGGAGTTCCTTGCGGACTTCCTCCTCGTTTGGTGGATCAGTCGTCACCGGCCATGGAGGGCAGGATAGTCTGACCGATGTTGCCGGAGCAGCAGGCCAGTTGAACTGCCCTTCGAAGAATTCTGCCCATCGTCCAAGACGTCAATGGATGGTGGTGATTGCCATCCTGTCATCCTCGCAGATTGTTTCGCTCACACCAGACTTCTTGATGCCAGTGGCTCGGATGAGTTGGAAGAGCTTCCGGTAATTACCAGATGCAGATGCTGCTTCCAACTCATTAGCACGCTTCGACCACCAGGCTTCTCGGTCCTTACGCAAGCTTTGCCCAATTTCCTTACATAACATCCTTCGTTTATGGCCAAACTCACGGTCACCCGGAGTAGACCGACGGGCTTCAATGAGTTGTAAGGAGCCTGAAGAAACCCAGTGCTTATAAGCGGGACGTTTCGCAAACCCACAACTGACTGTACCCGCCATTTTCATGGCGTCATGCAATTGCAACCAATGCTCATCTATACTTTTCGGTGGAGTGGTAGCTAGCCTAGAGGCTAGCTCGGTTCGATACTTATTTGCAACAGAAGTTGCAACCAGCTTGCTAATATCAATCCTTTGCTGGCGGTCACTTCGTTGGCCACTGAAAAGTAAGGCAAGATTGGCGCAGACTGAGGCATGGTCAGAGTCCAGATAGGTACTCCAAAAGGAGCGGCAGTCTTTTACACAACCACGCCAGCGGTAGCTGATCGCGGTGTGATCAATCTGAGTCCAGGCTTGAGATGCGGAGGGAGTACGCCAGGTGGCACATCGGTGATGACTGTGCCGAAAGTTAGTGCTAGCCAGAAACAGGTTGTGGTCTGTGCACAGTTGCAGTAGACGATCCCCGTTATCTGACCTGCGACCAACGAGTCCCCATCGGCCACCTAAACGACTCTCTTCTGTGCCTAGACGCCCGACCTGAGCATTCAAGTCTCCGGCTAGTACTACAATATCTGTCGAACGCACTTTCTGGAGAAGAACAGATAACTGGTGGTAAAACTCATCCTTGATTGCATCCGGGCTGCAATCTGTCGGGGCATAGGCGGAGATAACGAAAAGACATCGTTTCTCACGCCGATTTCTTCTCACTTTGATGGAACTTTCTAATCTAACAGCACATAACCGACTGTTAATGGGGATCCAATCGACTAGTGCTGCCTCAGCTCGAGCGCTTAGTGCGACACCAACGCCTGCAAGACCAGACGAAGATGCCACAGGGTCCCCGGATAAGCGCACGTAAAACAAGCTTTTTGAAGTGACAGATGTAGAGCGAACTGTTTTCCTAGTTGTTCCTGAAATATACTCTTAGCTTGACTATCATTAAATTGGACCCTAAGAGATTTCTTTGCAGCATCTTTCCTACGTTCAGTAAGACGCAGACAGATACGCGCCCGTACTACAGCATGATCTGAATCTTAGCATGTGCTATGGAATGAGCGACAGTCTTCTATCGAGCCCCTCCATCGGTGGCTGATAGCGATGTGATCTATTTGGGTCCAACGTTGGGACGAATTAGGGGGTCGCCATGTTAAAAGATGTTTTTCCTTATGCATGAAGTTAGTATTTACAAGGAACAGGCGGTTATCTGAGCATAGCTGCAACAGACGGTCGCCATTATCTGTTTTTTGAGCCACGACACCATAAGATCCACCTAGGTGTCTTTCCCTATCGCTTAGTTTACCTACTTGAGCATTAAAGTCACCAGCCACTATTACTACATCCGAGCGCCTAGCTTTTCGGAGAAGGTCGGAGAGCTTTCTGTAAAACTCATCTTTTACATCATCTGAGCTGCAGTCAGTGGGAGAATAGGCAGAGATGACGAAGAGGTAACGACGAGTGTCCCTATCTTTTCGGATCCTTACTGTTCCGTTCAGTCGGACAGTGCACAAACGACTGTCTACTGGGATCCACTCTAAGAGAGCTAGTTCTGCCCTAGGACTCAATGTTATACCTACGCCGGCGAGACCACGGGAAGCAGAATCAGGGCTTCCAGATACACGAGGTGTGAATCGAGTCGGTTCTTTATTTTGGCATGGTGAGGTCAAATGAATGACGCTACTCGGATCCTGTATGCGCGTTTCGGAGATGCAGCACACATCGATGGCGCGAGATTCTAAAGTCCTAGCTAAGGAAGCCTACTGTCCTGTTTGGCAAAGTGTTCGTACGTTAAAAGCTCCTACATGTAGTTTAGAGCATGGTTTTAGGAGATCAGGAATAGCGTTCCGCGTACTCGAATCGTTTGCCCTAGCGGTGCGAGGTGATAAAGAAACGTGAGGAGGGTTAGTCATGGAGATAAGAGAGGTATCAGGAAGTGTAGGAAGGATTTAAATGTGACCAACTTGGTCGTGCGCTGTTATGGGTATGAGGGCTGATATCACTTCCCGGCTGCCCACACCGTGGAAGGGTATTTCTTGAGGAACCTGAAAAGGAAGTTGGATTAGTGTTGGTCTTGACGACATGGGAGCGTGACCGCAGAGCCCAAGGGACAACTACTTGATGCCGGTCGCGCACGGCCTTTTTGTGGAAGGTTTTTGACGTGTTAGCTCCGTTCTTCAAAAAACCTTACCGCCGGAGACGGAAATCCGTGAGGTAAGGTGAGGTGTGACATTTTTAGGGTCGATCTTTTCTAACCCCCTGCTTCCTTGTGGGAAGGCAGCATCGCTGCAGATGCTGGTTGTCCGAGGGAAACACCTTACTGCTGTCACACCTCTCTACAGTCAGCAGTACGACTTCGCCCTCAGACCTTGAGTTGCTGCTGTTAGTCTTACCGTTCTCTAATCGACCTGCTTGGCATGGTAAAACCTACAGGAACATATGTTACAGCCAATATAGCTCGGTTGGGTCATCACGATCGGCAAGCCCGACCACCGCGTCAAGGTAGCGGCTTCGGTCGGGAATAAAATGTGTAAAACAATGTTCCACTCACTATTGCGTCTTGACATATACAACACTCATTTTCCATACGAGCCACAACTTCGTCAGATACAACAATACTCGATAATGTAGCCTCCGGAGCTGATGGTGTTACATACGGTGTTGGAAGTGATTCTATCGTATTTAACGTCTATTGTAGAAAAAAGAATAAATCAAAAATATGTAACAGATTATCACGAAGACTTTGGTTTTCTATAGGTTTGAATAAACTGCAGCAAAAATGCTGATAATGTTAGTTGCTGTCCTAACCAATGATTCTCTATATTGCATGCTTTTGTTGTTTCATATTTGATTCAATCAACTGTTGATTATGAATTTTCAAGGTTATCCTACGCTCAGTTTGTTTATTTTTATACCTATCAAACTTCTTACATCTTATTACTACTAACAGTATACTACACAATTTTACAAATGAATAAAAAGGTATGTCCGAATATGTCGTTTGTAAAGTAAATTTATTATGGATGCTAATTTTAAAATTGGCTGCTTCTATAATTAGTTGATTAGAAGAATGATCAATCATTGTGTATGAAATACATTATCAATTTAAATTACTACATGTAGTAAGTTCAATAGTCGTACTTCAAGAGTTGGAAAATTCATTTTAAAGGATTTATCAGGTGATCCCCAAGTAACCTGAGTTCATAATATATACTAGTATTGAACTGTTGATTGAATTACGTTCACCTTTCGAAAGCCATGCATGAAAATATTTGGGGATACGTTTGGAAAGTGATCGCTTTGTACGGCCTATGTAACCTACTCCACAAGAACAGGTAGACGTATAAATACATATTGATATGGCCTAATACAAAAGTTTTTCCTTAAAACATCTATGGATAATAGGTGGGCTGAGAAGGATGATGCGAAGATTGGAGGTATGAAAAAATATTTCTCAAGGATTTCATTAGACAATTTCTCAAAGTTTCCGCAGCAGTATAAAAGTTGCACAAAATGTTCATGAAGAGAATTAGGATCTGTATGAGTTCTCGCAGATTTTAATTTAGGTTTCATGTTGCGCTCAACAAACTTGGGTGGATAGCATCACGGCTCATAATACTACCAAGCTACTACCTACATCAAGGTACTTCTCGCGAGATTCGAACCTGTAATATTACTTTTTAAATTAGCTAATTTTAATTAAAAAAATATCACTGATCTACATGATGAATGTAAAAGAGAAAAAAATGTGTTAGAAATACCTTGTCTTCATCATTTGTTTTCATTTTGTACAAACCAATCTGCCTCAAAATCCCACGACGTGCTCCAAGAGTGTGAATACCAATCTATGTTTTATTATACGTAGTTTTTTTAAAACAAAAAAAAGCCGAAGACATGATTATCGATTGAAACGACTACCTTTAGAAACAGTCATAACTTACGATCAATCAATGTACGGGAAATATATAGACTGCACAACATCATGTGTCTAGTGTACAGTGATTCTTTCTACTTTTAACTAGTTCTCAAGATGTACATACTTGCACTAATTCATTAACTGTGAGAGACAGAAGAGTAACTTAGTTGTAAATTAGGATATAAAATTAAAGCATCACACTAAACTGTACAGGATAACAGACAAAAAAATCTCCAAAGAAGCAAGTTAACCACCAATTCAACAGATTCGGTCGTATCAAAAAGGGTTAGTGAAAACAAAACACCCCACACGATATTCCAACTAGGGAAAAAAGGATATTATTAACAGTGATAATTGTGAACAGGAAAAGTCAATCAGGCACAATCAATACAGAGACACGAATGCATGTCAACACGAGTTGTTATGCCACGACAAGATGAAATCAAATGTGATAGGAAAAAGTTCCGAACAGTAGTATAAATGGTAGTGAGAAAGACTAAAAATAAAAGAATAAAGTTTGGAAAGATATTTAATTCGAACAACAGAAAGTATGAAGTAATATCTAGTTCAACAAATACGGGGAAATGAGTTGGTGCATCCGCGCTTTTGTGATCCAATATCAGTTTCATAGACCCCAAAAGTCTCCAAAAAATTCAAAAAGACTAGTAAAGTACCAAAATATCATTACGAAACGAAATATCCCAAATCTATGACAATCATGAACTCCCTTGAATTAAAAATGCAAGAGATAGGACGCCAACTAAGTGAACTGAAGGTTAAGCGGCTCCCGAGAAGGACCGAAGTCTCTGGGTCTTATCCCACATAGGGTCATAAGTGAGCAATGTTGAGGAATCCCATTTTAGGATGAGACAACTTCTTAGTGCCTCATGGTTTTCATTGATTGACGATTCCACAAAACGACTGAAACTTATCCTACCATTAGCGCTCAAAAAGCCGATGGTTGATAAATTATACGGAATTCGGTATTCAGGTATTCGATTTTAAGTGAAATTAGTTTATTCCGTGAACACAGACACCAATAAGTATCTTCATTCTCAGAGGAGAGGATCATTTTAATAACCTTGGCCACGAAATTGGCTCGTTAAGTTATATATATTTAGTCACTCGCTTCACTATGTGACGCTTGTATCGTTTTAGCTGAACATAAATTTGTCCGAAGAAACTCCGTTCTGACTTCCGAACATTATTATTATTAATGACTTTATTCAATATTTTATTTTTGGTACAATTTATAATTCTCAGCACAAAGTATTTCAACAAGTTTCCTTTTCTTATTTCGTGATCGATCCTGGCGATAAATACTGAGTGACCGCCAGTTAGATGTTAGCAGTTCAAGTATCGACATCTGAATAATGTTCATTCTTCTCAATGTATATTGTAACTACCACAATGTGTCTGATTGTACTTTTTAGTAACTTGTACATCGAAAGGTCGTAAACTTTTCATAAACGCGCCTAAGTGCGGTTAACAGACATAATAATGTGTTAGAACAAGGAAGAGTAGATAACTTGTTGAAATATCTAGATGGCAGGAACAGGTAGTCTAGATATTCAAGTAGGCTGCCGTGATGATATTCTGTACCGTTGGTGGTTGCCATATTAAAAGTTATTTAGTTGAATTGTATACAAAGTTAAAAAAAAACACTAACGTTTCGCTACCGAAGCGATAGGAAATGGGTTAGTCTCGGAAGAAACATCAGCATTAAAATACAAGTATATCCAGTTGACAAGAACCAAGGACAATATGAACGTCTTGAATTCCACTGATAACCATCATTCGAAAATATTATAGAACTTGAAACTATGCAGTTCTGAATAGTAACAATATGAAAGCACATAATGAACCTTTGACGAATAAGAATAATCCAATGAATGGAAACTTCAAAATGATAGCACTCTATCGGATGTGCGAATCGAATTAATTTATTTGAAAGAACTGTCCGAATGAAACAATTAAAAACAACAGATAAACAAACTTACTTCTTTAAGATCACTATCTGTCATAGTTTGCATAATTGAATAGGTAATAGCATGTCGTTGAAAATTAGGCAGAAATTCCAAAGATTGTGCATTACTAAGAATTATTTGAACATCTGAGTCGGGCTACAAAATTTAAAACAATATATCCTTATCTTAAAATTAAGAGGTCAAATAATCACTACAAAGTATCCAGATAATAAAATAACATCAAGTTAGAAATAGTGACATTTATTTAAACATATAAACATTGGTATAAGGAGGCACCAAATACATATGCGCCACATAAATCATTCGAGTGTGTGAGGGTTATGATACTGTCCTTGTGCCCAAACCGAAGCAGGTGGTTATCTTAGGGGGCCACACCCAGAGCCTTTGACCTAAAGATCTGATCCACAAGGCAGTGGAGCAGCGTAAGGAGATGTAGTCCCATGGTAACCGGTGATCATCGATTGGTTCATACGCCATTTGTTCCTTCAAGATACTGGAGCTCATGTACACCATTTGTTTGGAATCAGGGTTTTCCAGCTTTCTTAGGTATACCCTCTGTACCCACCACTAACCCAGTTAAAGCGACAGACATTCGCCTTTCGTCCTCTCAATTTCGTAAACAACGCCGCCGCGAGAAGGTAGTGTGTAGGATTTCCCTGGCAGTGGTTGTATGCACGTGGCCATGTGAGAGCATTTCGAGAGGGAGAGGTAACTCTCTTGACTCTCGACCGTACCAGGGCATTTGGGGGCTGCAAAGAGGAGGTAGGTGTAGAGCACCCTGAGTCACTGATTTCCTAAACATCCATTTACTTTCACAGATAATTATGTTTTCAATTTTTTAATTCACCAATCATCTCTAGCAATGGTGTGCACTTTTGCGCCTTCATAAAATTTCTACAATCAATCGTGAATCTGATTACTCAAAAACTAAAGAGGTTATACTATTACTATTCTAATTGTTGAAGAACAGATCAGTAAATCAACTTATCTATTAGTTAAATCTTAATTATAGTTGTAAGTTTTCTATATCAAACAATTCAAAAACAATCAAATTAGGAATGTTCAAATATCTGAAGAGAATTGATGAATTTTAATAGTTGAGATCATGAGACAATTGAAGATAGATCACCATGGAAAATCTAAAAGCACTGAAAGACTATTTCGTCCTATTGTGGTACTCCTCAGCAATGTACATCCACGATCCCACCTCGCAAGATTGATTAAATTAACCATTTTCAACTGTTTGAATCTAGTATTTCCACTATTAATTATCCTTTGCCAAATGCTATATCATTCATCTTCAATACCATCATCTACGTATTAATATACATTTTTTGTGTGTGAATTGGTTACTGAACGAAACTGTAGATCTATTGATATGCATTAGGTTTAATTTATTTTTAAACAAAAGTACTATTTCGATATTTTAAATATTTGTGATTAGTTGTATGGATAAAGATCAGTTGGCATTAGTTTATTATCCATGTAGATTTAAAACTAATGACGCCTAATTATTGAAACATTTTAAAGTTGGTAAGTAAACTTTGTGCAATATTCAATTTCGCCTAGAGCCCCTTTGGGACCACTGCCGGTCCCAAGCCCGGATAAAGGAGGAGGGTTGGGCATGGGGGTTAGCGACCCCATCCTGTAGAAAACTAACTCGCTAAAAAAAGCTAACCAGAAAAAATTATTCAGATCATTCAAATAACAAATGATTATAAATTCCTTTTATAGATTCCGGCAAAATTTCTTAAACAAACACAGCATCCGCTATGTTTGTAAGTTATCTCAAGTTGATATACTTAGAGAAATAAAGTGGGAGGAAGTTAAATAGACGTAAAATAAAGGAATTCGGATAAGAATAATAATAATAGCAAGAAACTAAACATATGAAGTACTACTGTTCAGAAAGAGAAAGAGAAGTCGAGGCGTTCAAATGTATACATTTATAATAAAACTCAAGATTTAATGAAAAAAAGTATAAATGCGATTGAATCGATGTGAATGATTAACACCTCTACAAAGTCTTCAAATAGAGATTATGTTATGCCTGTAAGTTAATCAATATCTCGAGAAGTAATTTGCCCATCAGAATCCTGGTAATATTTCTTTACTTCTGATTAAACTACCTTCCGTTATTGCTATCTTCTTAAGCCTACACTAATTACATTAGTAAATCTTGAGTTTGAGGCCAAAAATAATCCTAACTTCTATCGATACTTTTAAGTGTATCTGCTTCTTCTAACTCGACCTTCGGTTCAATAATAGAAAACAAGCTGTAATACAGAGGTGGTAGTATATAACTCAAACATCTCTAGCTGATGTACATAAATTATCAGACCACAACTCAACCCAAATCTGAAATCATACTTTACAGATAATTATACCATATATATATATAGGTGGTAGAGAACGAAGCAAATAGTACAAAACTAATAAACGATAACTAAGAAATAATAAGTCGTATAACAATAATTAAAAGTTATAAAGCAAGCTTACAATACAAAGAATACACGTATAGAATAAAACAACTGACCTATATTTATACAATTATATTCGATCAAGTGTTATGAATTAACAGTTCTTACTTTCGAATAATTGTTATACTGAATTAAGAGCAAATAAAATTGACTGGTTACTATGGTACAATTTTAAGTTACATTAAACTAGAAGTAATAATTTCATTATTATGAATACTTTAACATTTAGTTAGTTTATTATTATTATTATTATTATTATTATTATTATTATTATTATTATTATTATTATTATGAAACTGACCTTATCAAGTAATTTGACAGGTTTTGAATTTAATACACGTTGATATTGAACTAACCAAAAGTCCAATTGATCGTCTTTCTTTTGTTGTTCGATTTCCTCCTTTAATACAAAGATATATTTAAATAAAAATGTGCATAATCGATATACGATGATTGATCGATCACTGAGTATAATGAGCGATATCAGTCAGTCAGTCAGCTACAACGTAGGACCAAGAACATATATGCATCGGTCCAAGTTGCCATATCTCATTAACACAAGATGAACACCGGATTCATAAAAGTAGTTAATTCAGAGGTGGTAATACATAAAAGAAAGATTGCAATAAGGATATAGTACAGGAAGAAAGAATTAGTTGATAGAAAGAAACACATGAAGCGATCTTAATCTCTTAGTTTAAGGGAAGACAGGGAGTGTATACACCGACGCCATTGTGATCGATTCTGAGCCATGTTACCAAGAGTCTCCAGCCATTGGTTACGAAAGTCACGCGGACCCCAACCAAGTAGTCTGCGTCTACCAACATGGCTCAGACTAAAAGTTAGTGACTTCAAGCACTGATGCCACATTTTGGTTTGACCGCCCCTAACTTTCTTCCAACCATCTCCAATACCGGATAGCATTGCACGTCGTGGTAGTCGGTGTTCAGGCATACGTAACACATGGCCCAACCATCTCAGTCGATGAAGATTCATGACCTCATCAACTGATTTACCATCATTCCCTAATACCCTGTGTCTAACCTCACTATTACTTAGCCTGTGATCCCAACAGACGCCAGCAATATTTCTAAGGCATCTGTGGACAAATACTAGTAGCTTACGAGTGTCTTCTACTCTTAATGGCCATGTTTCGCTGCCGTAAATTAAAGCAGAACGGACTGCCGCGCAGTATACTCGTCCTTCTATTGATAGACGGATATCTCGCCTTCGCCACAGGTGACGTAAGTTGGCAAAAGCCAAACGAGCTTTTCGAATCCGTGCTGAGATTTCGTCAGACACCAACCCATTAGGGCTGATCAGACTTCCAAGATAAGTGAAGCTGCCAACGCGTTCGACTACTTCACTCCCTATCCTTAGTTCAGGTGTTGACGCAGACCAGTCCTGAAGCAGCAGCTTGCATTTAGAGGGAGAGAAGCGCATTCCAAACATTCTGGCATTGTTGCTTAGTGCTACCAAAAGACTGCATTTTATCAGCGTCTTCACCAAACAGAACTATATCATCTGCGTATTCTAAGCCGATAAGTGGACCTCTTGGTAGCAGATCAATACCCGAGAATTCAGTAGACGAGAATGTTATTTTCATCAATAGGTCTATGGTGAAGTTAAACAAAAATGGAGAAAGTGGACAGACCAGTCCTGAAGCAGAAGCTTGCATTTAGAGGGAGAGAAGTGAGCGATATCATATTTGTTTGATTCCTAAATGAGTTCAGTCGGGCTCCTAATAACTCTGTAACAACGTCTCAGACTGTAGAGTTGGATGATACGCGTTTGAATCCCATAAGAAACATCAGTTTCCTTAAGATTACAGGTATATCATGTTGATATATGTCAACTAGCACGAAACCCAAGTTATAAAGAGTTTTTGGCCGACTACCTGTAACCACCTAACATCTCAGAAATACTGAACTGAATCTACAGATAAAAGAAAAACTTTAAATACACATATACTCTGTTGTAAGTCTGGAATTTTTACAAATTAGTTTCCATATAATAAAATTTAATTTGTTTCTATGGAAGACAAAATAATACAATTAGAAAAATATATGTATATAAATATTTTCTTTGAATATGTAAAGATAACGTACAATTTTAGTTCAACTATATCACCTGTCACCAAATTAACGAAGTTACATTGGACAGTTAGTTAAAATGGATCATGAAACAAAAGTTTATTGGAAATCATAGAATAGAGTGAAATGAACTTTACGTTAGACAAATGTTATAACGCTCTAAACGTGTTGTTGGCGATGCGCGAAGCGTCATTCGGCTAATGTTTGCTATTTTAAAAAAAAAGAGTTTGTTTCCGATGTGATAAATATGGTCATGCTCAGGTATGTTGTAAAAGTACGCAAAAGATTGTCAACTATCGGCAAAAGTTTCGTAAAGAAAATACGAAGCAGATATCAAAAGAGATCCCACACAGACAAATTAGTATTTTACCTTAGATATGATGATAAATTTGTCATTTCCAGTAGTCAGTAATGTTCTCTTCGAATGTATTAATGCAAAACCTGGTAGCTACGTAACAGTTTAACATATATATGAAAATACATTTCATTATAGAAAACCAATATATATGTAATAAAGCACTTCCGTCAGTGTAATTCAAATAGTAGAATTAATTTGAATTCAAAAGCTTCTCTCTTTTAAAAAACTCAGTTACGTTTATTAAGAAAACCAGTATTCTGCAGAAGAAATTAAAGACAAATTAGTTATGTCAGAGAAATGACTGCATGACAACCGATAACAACAGACAATCAATAATAGGTATGTAAACAAAACAAAAACGATAAATAAGAGATTAGAGTATAGTAGAGAAAATGGTCTGATGGATTCTCCACTTAATATATTTTAACTATACATGAATCTAAATTGTGTGAAACATTCAAATAATTTGAGACCTCATCATGTCTCCTCAATAAATCATATTGACTTATTTATATTACTAAAATCGAGAACTGATTTGTGATTGCGTAAATGTGATCAGAAGGACATGAATTGGGTCATAGAATGTCCCATACCAAATTATGTTACGGCACGTTGATTGGAAAAAAAATCTAAAATCTTCAACTGTAAAATTACAAATATGCTAACGTTTTTCTAATTGTGATTCATTCTCACTTTACTTGGTTTATTTAGAGTATAATGACGTACCTGTCCAAACCGTGTTCTGATCTCGAAAACTAAGTCAAGAGAGGTAAAGTGGTCAAAAAAATATAAGGCAATAAGGGTATCTCGATTAGACAACGAAATACTTAACAAAACTTATTACTAAGATTCCCAAAATAACATTAACATAACAAGACTTACCAAACGTTTTCGTAATTCCTTTTGACGATCTTGTTGTTCATCTATTAATTGAGTTAACAATTGTAGTAGTTCAGATCTACACTCATCAAGAACACGTTGATTAACCTCAGTACGCTGATTAACACGTGATCGTTCAGCTAAGGTAAGCCGGCAAAGTTCTTCTTCTACTAAGCATATCTCTTTTTGTAATCTTGCAACTTGACCATCTTTTTGACGTTGTAACTGAGCGAAAGCTTCTTTTTGAACACTTTCCTTTATGAGAAGTATTTTTAAAGAAAAAAATTAAAATATAATATAAATCATAGTTATTACGGCATGAATTATTTGAAATTCAATCTTTTACAATGGGAGCTGGTCGAATTGGTTCACAGGGGGGCAAAAACTAAAAAGTGTGTACATGTGGAGGGGTGGGGCTTGGCGTCCCTTCGTTATTATTATTATTATTATTATTATTATTATTATTATTATTATTATTATTATTAAATATACATCACCTGATTTCAGAGACATAATATTGTTCATAGTTTGATATTTGATCTAGAGACTACCAGAATTTTTTGTCAAAACTAATTCTCTTTTGGCCAACATAATAAATTAGGGTAGATAGTGTAGTGGTTAGGTAAGTATAAATATTACAACCAATAAAATAATACACTTTATTTATTGAAATAAGTTATACAACTTCGGAGTAGGAATTTTTAAGTATCTCTAAAGTATCTTTGTTCTATAATAGATTCGGTTTATAGACACACAGGATTAACGAGCTTCCAGTACTAAATACAAATTATAAATCTTCTCTCTCTGCTGTAATTTAAATGAATAAATAATCTCTATCTCTTTATAGATCAAAGATTATTATTAAAACGAAAGGAAAGAATTTCAATCGATAGATCATAATGCAATGGAATAGTGTGACTGAGAGATAGCTGTTCATGAATCCGAATTATTGATGTAATGCTCTCAATTGAACTGATATCAAAATACAAGGAACCTTTCCAGTAGAATAGGTTTTCTTTCTGTTTACAAAATAACAGGCTTGTAAACAAAGTATTGAATATAAGATCAATCGTGTTTAGAAGTCACTTAAAAAAATAAACGACTGAAGGATATGAAAACAACAGTAGTTATTCTATCTTCAATAGAATCAATGTCTAACTATTAGGCTTAATTACTGTCCTGTTATATCAATCATTTGGAGGAAATCAACTATTTTAACTGAATGAGAAACTTAACAAAAATCTGTCTCAAAGACTCCCTTTCTTTATAAAAAAACAATAAAATGTCATTTCACTTACCTCTAGCATAAGATTGAAGGTTAATTTTGTATGATCAGCACGTTTATTCGCTAAAACTTGTTCAACATATTCATTAGTGGAATCTTTATTATTTGAAAGACTGTGAAGCTTAGTTGAATTCAAATTCATTGTATGAACTGCATAAGCATTGTCTGTAATTGACAACATTTCTTGCATTGAAGCTGTTTAAATAAAATTTTGTTAACAAACAAATTATTGAGATGGTGGAGAGGATTTGTAGCCCAGGTGGATGATTTTGATGGGGTTTCGTTCTCTGAGCTGATGATGTCGTTCAGAAGAACGATGAAAGCTCCACAACCAAACCATCCAGCTCAGAGAACGAAACCCCATCAAAACAAATTATTATTCAGTTCCTATCCAACTAATTAAAAATACAAACAATGATGACGATTATCAAACAGAACCTAAAAATTACCTATTAACTAAGATATCTAAATATGATAAGCCAAATTATCAACTACTTTTTTCACCAATACAATCAATAATTAGACCGATCTGAAATTTCGATTACATTTAGACAACTTACATTAACATTTTTCCCATGACTATAACTTAATGATAAGCAATAAAATAAAAATGGCTGTTTACCAAAGTACTATAACAAATGTTGAAATAGGTGGCTTAAAGTGGTTAAAATACTCCACTTTCGATTGGAATATCTCAGGTTTGTTTTCCATCCGATTAAATACGATTTGACCAACCACGTATTATGAATAGCTATCCAACAAACAGTGTGGATAAAAGCTGTCATACATAAACCTGTATGTATATCAACAACATACAGTTAAAAATCATTTTATCTGTTTAAAAAGATAATGGATTACTCTACTGCGTCGTTTCCAGTGATATACTATTACTACTTAAAATTAGTGTTTATTATTCTATGATATTCAGAGCCTGTTAAATCACGGTAAGGAATATGGTAACACGCTAAAATGTAGTGACATTTTTGTCATGATATATAACTATATTATATATTGTTCAGTGCATTTCTTAAAATTTTCAATAGTTCCCAAGTTCGAAATTTATCAAAATAAGTTTATGACTATCTCTTTTGGTCTACTTTGTTTAATAGTATAGTTAAAGGGTTTTTCAAGTTTGTCATAAATTGATCCCAGTTTGGGTACCACGGAAACCTAAGGAGCATTGTACAACAGTTTCATCCTAATATCAGACTCCTCAGCAGAATGCTAGGGATCGAACACAGGACCTATAGGTTTGTCAGTCAACGCTTTAACCGTTAGAATAACTGAGTTGGCTTCTGGTGCTATAATTTCAACTACAATGGGTCTGCGATATAGTGCAACGATCATTTAATACCATCGGTAACAACTGTTCAACTAAACTGAACTAAACTAAACTTCACTTGTCATGATATTCCCAATTAAACTTTAAGAATAAATTTCGAATCAAATCACTGGTGAGGACAGAATAATAATTTTATTATATTCCATGGTTTATAATAGTGTTTAACTGAAATGAATCTGTGATGGACACAACCTACTTCCTTTAATGTTAATTTTGAGTTTAATTATAAAAAGACTTTTAATTGTACTTTGATAGTGGTGCTTTATTGGTCTCTATCTAGTACTCTTTGATCAATGGGCTTCACAGAACTTGATGAGACTAGGAGCAATAATATGACATGAAGAACGTATATTTCGATAGAAAGTGAAACTGAATGTACTGGGGATTATTTAAAGGGGATTCTAGCATCTTCTTAACTCATATTCCAGTACCGATTGGCTAAAAAACAAATCAATCAAAATACTCGGAACATTTTCACACTGACCATGTAAGTTATATCGCTAATAACTGATCCATCTAACAGATAGCTAAAAATGATATTCACAATCTAACGAACCAGATAAATATTTATCAAACAAATTACAAATATCCACTTTCCTCCAGTACAATAATAAAAAAGCTATAATACAGCTTGAAAGGGAATACTGAGAAATTATAAGAGCAAAGTGGACATTAATTATATACACTGTTGGGGAGATATAAAGTATTCCTCCAAAAAGTCCAGAGGGACCCTGAAAAATCTGGGAAAGATTTAAACCGATCGTCGTTGAATAGAAGCGTCTCAGAAACATCTAGAAAGTGAAGAGTCAGGTGTCACACTTCTGATTGGATGGTTACACATTTTGTTACTATATTAAGTACAGGTCCATAAACTTCCAGAAGTCCGAAACCATTTGAAATACCATGGATACACTTGATTTTTTGTACATAAGCTAACCTTGGAGTAAAACGTTTTCTCCACACTTTGCGCCTTTTATTTTTTCTTCAAGTTGTCGGGTAGATTTAGTTGGCATTATCAGAAGAGATAAGGAAAGTGTTGTACCGTGTGACTAACCATTCCCAAGAAAGAACGTAAAGTTGATATATCCGTCGGTGGAGGCATGGAATTAATGGCTTTGACATTTTCAGGATCAGGTTTTCTCCCGTTTTTATCGATTATGAATCCCAAATACCGGACTTGCTACATGTAGAAATCACATTTTTCGGCACGCAGTCTGAATCCATAATCTGCTATGCGTCTAAGAACCGTATCCACCTTATTCTCTAAATCAGCATAGTCTGTACCCATGATCAATATATCATCGAGATAAGCCGCGGTACCAGGAATGTCTTGTAACATAGTGTCCATAACTTGTTGGAAGATTGAAGGGGCGGTCTTTACTCCAAAAGGAAGTCGGTCATATCGGAACAATCCCTTGTGAGTGTTTATTGTCAAGTAATGCTTACACTCATCCGCTACCGGGATCTGTAGATAAGCGTCTGATAGGTCTAATTTCGCAAAATACGTACCCCATTCAGTTTCGCAAATAAATCCTCTGGTACCGGCAATGGGTATTGATGGGCTTCAAGCGCTTCATTTAATCCAGTCGAATAATCTGCACATAACCGGATACTTCCATTAGGCTTTTTAACAACCACTATTGGAGCTGCACAATCAGAAAAGTTTACTGGCTCTATTATTCCACTTCTTTGCAGACGCTCTAACTCTTGTTCAACAATAGGTAGCGCTGCATAGGGTACCGGGCGTTTTGGTCTGAAGACGGGGGTGACTCCTGGTTTAAGAATCAATAGTGCTTTTACCTTTTTGCATTCCCCCAACTCTTCCGTAAACACTTGACTATGTCTTTCCAATACAGTACTCTTCAGATCCTTTTCCGCCGGTTTATTGGTTCTCACTGCGCTGCATATGTGGTTAATGGGGTGATTTGCTAATTGTAGTGTTTCTATCAAGTCTAGACCTGGCAAATCTAGTCCTGGATTCTGTGTAAGATATAAAGTTGCATTCGTTTTCGCGTTTCCTTTCGAAACTGTACAACAAACCTCTCCAACAATATTTAGTTTTCCTCCAGATGCACTGTGAGCTAACTGGGTTGTTGGGAGCACCTGTGGTTTAACGATAAGATTCCAAGTTCTCCGACTAATAAGTGTGATGTCAGAAGCGGTGTCGAGTTGCAGGCGGACACGCTTTTTATTTATATCCAAGTTTACATACTTTCTTTGGCGGCAAATTCGTGTTCGATTATGTGATACCAATATTTTGTTAGTTCGAGCACTAAATCTGTATTTCTTCGAGTAGGGTTTCAAAGAATGTCGTTTATAGGTTCTTTTTCTGCAGCAGTTTTCTTTATGTCCCTTACGATGACACTTGCTACAACAATGTTCTTTATATGGGCAGAACCTTTTATAATGCCAACCACCACAAGACCAACATGGAGATGAAGGCTGATTATCTGTGTGCGATACCTTTCTTGAGCAAGAATCGTTCTTTCCGCTTACAGCACGAACGTATGGCAACTGGCCATTATTTTCGACCATCGAAGTGTCATGCTTTAGGTTTACCAATCTCTGGCACTCTGTGGTTACTTCTTGTAGTGTCATATTCGGACATTGTTCAATTTTACTCAAAATTCTAGTTCTAATATCGGCGTCTTCGGGAGATTGGAGGCTGCACACAAATACGAGACACTTAAACTGGTCTTCTGTCATTGCTGATAGTTTGAAGCGCTCACATTCACGGTTTACTAAACCCGCATGCTTCACCCAGTCATCATCACCCGCTTTTGTCATCTTGAGACATTGATAACGAATATTTAACAAGGACGACTGTTCAGCAAAGATTTGCGACAAAATTTCAATCGTTGCATCAAAAGAAAAATCTCTTGGATTCTTTAGAAGGATAAAGTTACTGTAACGTTCATGTTCAACAGTTCCAAGTTTTCGCAAGAGTATTCTGACCTTAGCGGCGTCATCAAGTTTTTTGAGGTCGACCTTGAACAAATTTTCATATTTCTTGAACCAAGTTTCAAAAGTAATGCCAGCTGAACCATCAAAATTAAATTCATGGATAGAATTAACGATTTGGTCAATAAGAGATTTGAAGGGATCATCTGTAACTTCTTTTTGATCCAGGTTCATTTTCTGAGTTAGCATCTCTATCATTTACTTTTGAACAATTTGAAGCCTTATTGGAACGCCAAGAAAAACGTTTTGAACAGTTCCAGATGCGCATGATAGAGATGCTAACTCAGAAAATGTACCTGAATCAAAAAGAAGTTACAGATGATCCCTTCAAATCTCTTGTTGACCAAATCGTTAATTCTATCCATGAATTTAATTTTGATGGTTCAGCTGGCATTACTTTTGAAACTTGGTTCAAGAAATATGAAAATTTGTTCAAGGTCGACCTCAAAAAACTTGATGACGCCGCTAAGGTCAGAATACTCTTGCGAAAACTTGGAACTGTTGAACATGAACGTTACAGTAACTTTATCCTTCTAAAGAATCCAAGAGATTTTTCTTTTGATGCAACGATTGAAATTTTGTCGCAAATCTTTGCTGAACAGTCGTCCTTGTTAAATATTCGTTATCAATGTCTCAAGATGACAAAAGCGGGTGATGATGACTGGGTGAAGCATGCGGGTTTAGTAAACCGTGAATGTGAGCGCTTCAAACTATCAGCAATGACAGAAGACCAGTTTAAGTGTCTCGTATTTGTGTGCAGCCTCCAATCTCCCGAAGACGCCGATATTAGAACTAGAATTTTGAGTAAAATTGAACAATGTCCGAATATGACACTACAAGAAGTAACCACAGAGTGCCAGAGATTGGTAAACCTAAAGCATGACACTTCGATGGTCGAAAATAATGGCCAGTTGCCATACGTTCGTGCTGTAAGCGGAAAGAACGATTCTTGCTCAAGAAAGGTATCGCACACAGATAATCAGCCTTCATCTCCATGTTGGTCTTGTGGTGGTTGGCATTATAAAAGGTTCTGCCCATATAAAGAACATTGTTGTAGCAAGTGTCATCGTAAGGGACATAAAGAAAACTGCTGCAGAAAAAGAACCTATAAACGACATTCTTTGAAACCCTACTCGAAGAAATACAGATTTAGTGCTCGAACTAACAAAATATTGGTATCACATAATCGAACACGAATTTGCCGCCAAAGAAAGTATGTAAACTTGGATATAAATAAAAAGCGTGTCCGCCTGCAACTCGACACCGCTTCTGACATCACACTTATTAGTCGGAGAACTTGGAATCTTATCGTTAAACCACAGGTGCTCCCAACAACCCAGTTAGCTCACAGTGCATCTGGAGGAAAACTAAATATTGTTGGAGAGGTTTGTTGTACAGTTTCGAAAGGAAACGCGAAAACGAATGCAACTTTATATCTTACACAGAATCCAGGACTAGATTTGCCAGGTCTAGACTTGATAGAAACACTACAATTAGCAAATCACCCCATTAACCACATATGCAGCGCAGTGAGAACCAATAAACCGGCGGAAAAGGATCTGAAGAGTACTGTATTGGAAAGACATAGTCAAGTGTTTACGGAAGAGTTGGGGGAATGCAAAAAGGTAAAAGCACTATTGATTCTTAAACCAGGAGTCACCCCCGTCTTCAGACCAAAACGCCCGGTACCCTATGCAGCGCTACCTATTGTTGAACAAGAGTTAGAGCGTCTGCAAAGAAGTGGAATAATAGAGCCAGTAAACTTTTCTGATTGTGCAGCTCCAATAGTGGTTGTTAAAAAGCCTAATGGAAGTATCCGGTTATGTGCAGATTATTCGACTGGATTAAATGAAGCGCTTGAAGCCCATCAATACCCATTGCCGGTACCAGAGGATTTATTTGCGAAACTGAATGGGGTACGTATTTTGCGAAATTAGACCTATCAGACGCTTATCTACAGATCCCGGTAGCGGATGAGTGTAAGCATTACTTGACAATAAACACTCACAAGGGATTGTTCCGATATGACCGACTTCCTTTTGGAGTAAAGACCGCCCCTTCAATCTTCCAACAAGTTATGGACACTATGTTACAAGACATTCCTGGTACCGCGGCTTATCTCGATGATATATTGATCATGGGTACAGACTATGCTGATTTAGAGAATAAGGTGGATACGGTTCTTAGACGCATAGCAGATTATGGATTCAGACTGCGTGCCGAAAAATGTGATTTCTACATGTAGCAAGTCCGGTATTTGGGATTCATAATCGATAAAAACGGGAGAAAACCTGATCCTGAAAATGTCAAAGCCATTAATTCCATGCCTCCACCGACGGATATATCAACTTTACGTTCTTTCTTGGGAATGGTTAGTCATTATTGAGTTTTTCTTCCAGATCTGCATCGCCATCGTGCTCCTCTTAATTGCTTATTGAAAAAGGATACTAAATGGTTCTTGTCAACTGAATGCCAGGAAGCATTCCTAAAACTGAAGCAGCTTCTATAATCGAACCTTCTCCTTACACGCTATGATTCCGATCTTCCAATTATAGTCGCAGCAGATGCGTCGAACTGCGGAATTGGAGCAGTAATTTCACATGCCCACCCTGACGGGTCTGAGAAAGCAATCGCTCACGCTGCGAGATCACTGACTATGACTGAAAGAAACTACAGTCAAATAGAGAAAGAAGCCCTCGCGATTATATTTGCTGTAAAAAAGTTCCACAAGATGTTGTTTGGTAGGCATTTCACCTTACTTACAGACCATAAACCGTTACTGACAGTTTTTGGATCTAAAAAAGGCGTCCTGGTATATACAGCAAACCGGCTACAGCGGTGGGCTACCACACTGCTGGGCTATGATTTCAAGATAAAGTATCAACCAACAACGGATTTCGGACAGGCAGATGCACTCTCAAGATTGATTGGTCTACATGAAAAACAAGAAGAAGAGGTGCTTGTAGCTTCTATAGATGTCGAGGCGGAAGTTCACAAAATATTGTCAGACGCAGATTCCGGACTCCCAGTCACATTCGAAGCCATCAAAGAGGCTAGCAAGAAGGATAATGTATTGAAGATTGTTCGCCATTGCATACTCAACAAATGGCCGTCATCTAGACTACACGGAGAACTCTTACAATATTTTCGTCGACGAGAGTCATTAACAGTTGTCGATTCATGTATAATGTTTGGCCATCGTATCGTTATCCCCAGAAATCTTCGACACCAAGTCATTAAACAGTTCCACAGCGGGCATCCAGGGATAAGTAAAATGAAATCACTAGCTCGTAGCTATGCATACTGGCCGTCAATGGACCATGATATAGAGCAAAAATGTCGCAGCTGTTGGTCCTGTTTAGAGGCTGCAAAGAATTCAAAGAAGGTTGAACCACAACCATGGCCGAAACCGGACGGGCCTTGGCAAAGAATACATGCTGATTTCGCCGGACCTATATAAGGCAGAAATTACTTGGTTATTGTCGATGCATTCACAAAATGGCCAGAAGTATATGACATGCCGAAAATGACATTGGAGAGTACAATAAGAAGGTTGTCAGGATTATTTGCTAGTTTCGGGGTTCCAGAGATCTTAGTGACCGACAATGGTACTTAGTTTATGTCATCCGCCTTCAAACGCTTTTGCAGTGAAAATGGCATATTGTATCTACAATCTCCTCCGTACCATCCTCAGTCGAATGGCCAGGCAGAAAGATTCGTGGATACGATTAAAAGAGCTCTGGTCAAAGGGGGAGGTGAGGGTATCCCGGAACAAGTGATTAATAAGTTCTTGATGTCTTACAGAGTTACCCCTAATCCGGCAGTACCAGAAGGAAAGTCTCCGGCCGAGTGTATGTTCGGAAGGAAAATCCGGACAGTCTTTAACAGTATGTTGCCGCCCAGAAAGACAAATAAACCCACGAATGAAGATCGTAAGGTCAATCGTAGCTTCCAGGTGGGTGAAAAGGTACTTGTCAGATCGTATCAAGGTAATAGGAAGTGGGAACCAGGTGTCATAGAACGTCGAATCGGAAATGTACTGTACCTAGTCCGGAAAGGTGTCGGAAAATGCATAAGACATATAAATCAAATGCAAAGAAATGATAGTACAGTGGTCACAGAAAACCGGCTCCCATTTCAATTGCTCGTAGATTCATCTCAGAAGAACCATCATGAGCACAAATATCGAAAAGACAAACGACGCAGAGAGAAAGCTGTACAACCCTCGAGAGTAATGGACCGCAAGAGGAATGCGACACCCAAGCTTCAGGTGGATCCAAGAAAAAAATCTTACACAACGGACTTTAAAGGGGGGAGGTGTGACGACGGACCACCGGTGAACTCGAGGAAGCTGTAAGAGGCTCAGAAGGAGCCGAAGACGTTCCATCCAATCACCTTTCGGAAGAATATCCTAGAATTCCAACGTGTAGCTTCCCGATTGGATAATGCTAATAACCCCCTGTATGAGGATTGGAAGACTGTAATGATGATTTCGTTCTCACTAAAAACTATAAATACCTGACAATTTTGTACTATGATTGACACTGTTTGGAATAATATTCCTTTCGTTAGTCTTCTGTCTTCTTACTGCGACTTGGAAGGGTTTTGGTGTTCTAGTGCTCAGTTATACGCGGTAGTATCAAGAAAAATCAGTTTTTCAAGATATAACAGAAAGTGATTGAAGAGTTCAGTTAGAAGACTTATCACATACACACACACACACATTAACCAAAAACTATTCAGAAAGAGAGCTAAAATAGAAAAGAAGAAAAAAGACAAAAACGAACCTAGGATTTCTTTTCGTTTCGATTGTGACAAAGCTGTATAATCAGTAGAACTAAACTGATGTGCATTGAACACATCTTCCATCTTCTCTATCAACTTTGCTGATTTATTAATTGTCAGTATTTGTTTGATTATATCAGCAGCATTCTGTTCAGCTAGTGCAACATTAGAAATTAATGCGGAACGTTCTTGTTTTCGTTTATCTTGTATAGCAGATAATTCAGCACAAACACGTGCTTCTTCCTTTCGATAAGAGATTTTAAAAAAGTACACCAGTATATTTTTAACATGCATTTAACGTATAAACTTTTATTTATTGAACTAAATATGGCGCTAAATTACCTCATTATTAAATATATATATATATATATATATATCAAATGAAAAAGCAGAAGTGATCTATAAAGTATCCGACTGTTGACCTGAGATTTATAAAAAATTGTAATTTGTCTGAGTGACGTCATCGCAATACTAAGTTAGCAGCTAATATCAGTGATGCAGTCAGATATTGAGTCAAAAATAACGTAAAACCAGGCATATATATGCACAGGTCAAGGTTGTCAACACAATGGGGACGAATTATTAAGATTTTGGTTGTACCAGTGTCGGTGATATTAAAAAAAATTACGCATAGAAAATCCGATTCAATAAGAATCAATGAATAAGAATAGAAAGTATAGAAACGTTTTGAGGTTAAAAATCGAAGGGAAAATCCTTCTGCATCATTGTAACAAATTTTAAGTCATATCACCCAGCGTTACCAACCACTGGTCACGATAAATACCAAGACCACAACCAGGCAGCTTGAACCTACAAACACTGACTTATATACACAGTTAGTGATTTGATGGACTGAAGTTAAGTCTTAACTTGATCAATTCTAGCTTTTTACGAACGTGCTTCTGTATCAGCAAACGTCGAGGGAGACAGTAAGTAAACAAACGAAATCAACGTCCGAACCACCGCAGTCAATTCATACCATATCAACGGATATATCATCGCTCTCCATTACTTTACGTTTAACTTCAGCATTGGTCACCCGATGATCTTAACATATGATAGTGAAGATTACATTACGAGTAACGTCTGAGACTTATTAATGGACTATTATTATTTATATATTCTCATGATATAAATATTCGGTAACTAGATTATGCATATCTATATTCCCTTTGTTATAAGCTTTGTTTTGACCTATAATTTATTGTACGATTTACTGTTCTTAAGCTATGTTCAGTTTATTAACTACTGTCTCCCATGTTCACAGCCACTTTTTGGCTTTATTGTGTACAAATGTTATTTCCTATTTTATGGTGCGTTGCGATCTGTTTGATTGATATATATACCCAGTATGTCTGAAATAAATTATTCGATTCGCATACTGGAAGCTGGTATTTGGTGCTCTAGACTCAAGTGGACGGGCTAGGCGGACATAGGACCAATAAGGACGCTAGGCTACTCGTGCCGGTCGAACGTCATTGGTTTGGCACAGTGCTAAGATTTTATAAGTCGTATTTTGATTGGTGGATAAATCACGTGATAAAGAGCCGGACATAAAGTCATGACACATAAGCGACAAATAGCTCAAAGACACGCGTGATTAAAATCCTGAGCCCCACCCTTGCCTTCAACTTTCAGAAGCCATGTGTCCCAGCGATATAGTAATACATAGTTAACTGTTACGCAGTATACTCTGCCTTTAATGGGGAGATGAACATCTTGCCTATATTGTATGCCAAGACAGACTCTTAAATTTGTGAAGAGATTCAGTCAGACAGTAACCAGCTGGGGTTGACGAGACTTTCAGAAGAACTAAAGTTGCCGATGCGTTCGGCTAATTCATTTCCAACCGTTATTTTATATGATGACGTAAACCAGTGCAAATCCAAGTCACCGTTTCTAACCTCAACATATTTTTACTTTCTTTTTGGTTTTGAGTTCTTATTGTGATTTTTGTGTATGACAAGAAATGGACTGATATATTGTTGTAATTGTTATAACTTGTCAATTGAATGCTCATTGTCTTGGCTCTTTCTTTCCATTATATCAGTATTAGTTCAAATAATGAAAGAATCAATATGCTATTGAATGTATCAGTATAAAATCATCAAAACAGTAAACTTTTATGAAATCAAAGTTTAGGATTTAATTACCACATACATAAGAATTTGATTATTTTATAATATATAAATATTGAATATGATAGACTATCTTAATCAACAATAAATAATACTTACTTCTGCTAATTGTACAAGTATTTGTTTATTTTGATTCAATTTAGCATTTAATTCTTGTTCGGTCCAACGACTTTCCAATGATTGACGTTCTAATTCTAAGGCTAGAAGATTTTCTTCGTTTCGTTTTTTAGTATAATTGGTTAATGATGATGATGGTGTTGCTGTCTGGAGAAAATTAAAAATAAACAGATGAATTGATAGAAACTGATTATTATCAGGATGGGCGATTGCGGAGATTGAAGTAATTTCAATAGATGAATTCATGAATCTTTAGTAGCTTAAGATCGTATGATTGATTGCTATTGACATATAAATGTCACCAATCCTCGTATATAATTATCGACTTAACTCGCGTTAGTGAATAACGGAATCAAATAAGTCAAATACGAGAATGAATTTCGAATACTTATACTTCGTACAATTGTTGATCGAGATAAACGATCGAAGGAACGAAGCATAGAAAGGGGAAGCGAAATGACACTCAGTGGAGAAGGCGTGTGAGCCAACTCCCTTTAATCAAGTGTTAACCAATATTTATAGCCATATAAAAATAGGTTACAGACATGTGATAAACAGAATAAGACGTGTGCACACAAATACGCTCATATAAAAACAGTCATGCTTGATAAGCGAATAACTAACAAGGTCGAAACGTAACTTAAGTAGAATGGAATAATCGGTCTGTTCAGAAGCTAGATAAAGATATATGGACTTAACATAGCAACCGATACTACAAATCAATCTAAGCTAGACCACCATTAAAGTTTGTGCAATATCATGGGTTGAGTAAAGTTAGATATTAACACCGTTGGATGCCGGCTCAATGGTCTACGGGTTAAGTGTTCGCGTGTGAGACTGAAGGTCTTAGGTTCGACTCCCTGTGAAACTCCAGTAGTTCATGGGATTATCATCAAATCTTATGATCTCCCTCTTCAGCGGGTCTAAAGCTTTAGATATCATTGTTATCCAACTCTTTCGAGGACGAATATCAACTGTACGTGAGGCAGATGTAGACTCATACGACATACTCTTGTCAGCCACAACTTGATCATAATGTTCACTCCCCTTTTGACATAAACGTTCTAACTCAATTTCTCTTTGTATCTGAGCTAAACCTGCTTTATCTATTTCTAGCTCCAACAGGGGTTCTATTCGGTAGCCATTTCTTTTAAATCGGTCGTCACTATGAATTTCTGAATAGTGAGGAAACAATTTAGGAATCTGATCAGTTTTATGATTCTCCGTAGACATTTAGGAGTACTCAATGTATGGATTTTTGATGAATTGACTGTTCGAAACTTTGTAAGAAATTACTTCCTACAGTAATAGCACGTATTAAAATAGTCATAGAAGATTAAAGAAATAGATGGATACTAAACTGTTTGTATGGTATACTACAAAATTTGAATTTGCATTGAATTAGAACTGTCTAAAAGAAGTTACATAATTTGAATGACGTTTACTTCAACATTACATAATCAAGTTTCCTTTCTGTACGAGCCGCCAGTATTGGAAGATATCTAACCTGTACTGTTGTATTCTCGGTATTCAAAAATTCACTGACCAGCTAACTACTTATGAACTAGTCAAGATAGAAATTATTTTGAATAATTACCAAAAAATAACAAGTGATGTTGTGGTGTGTGCTACTTATATTGATATAAGTAGTATATGACACGAGTTAAAAACGTTATGTCTGGGCAGCTGAAGATGGGGGAAGACCAAGAAAGGAAGAGTGAGAACACCATGCAATTTGTAAGAAAACGCATGAACAATGAAGTGTGAGACAATGGATTGATGTTTGCAGCATGGACAGTCCAGGTTGATATGATGGATTGATATTTTGCAAATTAACGATTTGCTATATGGTTTTTCTAGTTTACCAAGTAACTCTGTAATTCTGTGCTAAATACATTCCATTGTCCCCACCCGGGTTCTTGTTCACTACAATGTATGTAGTTACATCAACAACAAAAAATTCACTATTATAGCATAAAGGGAATTCGTTCTAACAACTGAATTGAAGTTTATGTGACTTACATTGTTGGAAAAACTTTGCATATTTTGTTCATTCATTTCACTAAAAGTATTATTTATATTTGTGGAAGTGTAATTACTAGCCACATTTTCATGATTCACAACAAGATTACAACATTTCATTCCTTCTTCTGAAAATAGAAAAAGGTCAATAATATAAATAATTTATAATTAAACGAAAAATTTTCTTTCACTATTTTAATTATAATAAAATAGATATCTCTAGGAAATAATTAGACCAAGAAATTGATACATTCACGGTTGACAGACATATTAGTATTTTTTTGATGAAGTTTTGTTCTCTGAGCTGGATGGTTTGGTCGTGGAGCATTCATCATTCTTCTGAACGACATCATCAGCACAAACTTCAGGTAAAAGTGAAGTGTTCGAATTTCTCCACATGTGGTTCACAGCTTGTCTTATACACCTCGATGTTGATTGGTTTTTGTTGTATCACCCAATGGAAGATACAATCAAAACAAAGAAGTAAACAATGATAGGTTTAAGGTCAACAAGAACCAATCAACATCGAGGTGTACAGGACAAGTTGTGAACCATATGTTGAGAAACTCGAACGCTTCGCTTCTACCTGAGGTTTGTGCTGATGATGTCGTTCGAAAAAAAAACAATGAAAGCTCCACGACCAAACCATCCAGCTCAGAGAACGAAACTCCATCAAAATCATCCACCTGAGCTACAAATCTTCTTCACCATCTTAATATTAGTAACTGTATACACGCTTGATGGTAATCAGTGACGCATATGAAACAGATTAAGATGGATGAAATACTGTAAGTTTATTTCATGTGTTTTTATGGTCTAGCTTCTTAGTTCGTCTAGGTAGTAGTTTGAACAGTTCAACTATTTGATATGAATCAGTTTAGTTACATCGATAAAAAATAAGACCCCTTTTAAGAAGACAGATTCTAAACAATTTGTTTACAATGCTCAGCACAAACATAATCTAAGTATACTTATAGGTTCATTCTTTGCCAGTTAGCACTTATGAATGAATCCAAAAACGTACAACAAGCTGATCGTGTCATTTTTCGATAAACACTTGTATTTTAACTTCTTTTTATTTTTCCAACTTTTCCTCGAAATACACTTTTTGTCTAACTCATCTTCCTCAAACCCTTCAAACTGAGTACAGTACAATATTCGAAAGAGTTTAGACAGGGTATAATCATTGTCTCCAGTAGATAATTCAACAACTTGAATAGTTATATTGAACCGCCAAGCCTTGCCTTTTAGTGTGTTGCCTATAATCATAACGTCATAATTCTATAATAATTCTATCAACCACGAAATTTACATCAGAAAACAGTAGAAGATCATAAGCAAAACAGTAAAGATCCCTACATTAGTAAAATGTAAGCAGAAATACTCAAACAAATAAGCAAACTCAGGTAACAAAAACCATAAGTAATAACGACATTTAGTACTCCCAAGTCACATTACCTAGAACGGCCGACATTCCACTTTGATTTTCAAGCAGATGTAATTCATAGTTTTTGATTTCCTGTACCACTCAAACCAAAGATCAAAGATCATATGAATTAGTTCTCTTTCTCAGCATAGTCAATTATATGCTACTCTTTTAACCTCCTTTTACTTTATTTAACATACCATATCAAGGTAGACGATGATTGGGACACCTTTCTCATTCATAACTATTTAAGAGGTAACCGATATTAACAGACTCAACTTATGACTCTATAACTACTCCATAACATACAACTTCATAATTCAGTTAGTTTCACCGATTATCATGAAAAAAATGTACGACTCCAAGCTGACTGAGCATGCGAATGTGTACTAGGTAACTAAAATTCACTACAATTTCCCATTAGCTTAGCTTACTTCCACTACACACATAAAGTGCAGTTTGAAAATATCCATCAAGAAATATTTGTAGCTTAAGTATGTCTAACACTCTTAGTAGTCATATTTTAAATGCGTCATTTAAAGAGTAAAATACTGTCTCTAGCAAACATTTGAATATCAATCCAATACTGCAAGTAGATTAATTTGAGACGATAGAATTATTTCAATAATTCCTATTGGATGATAACACTGAATACTTAATACATGACAATCACAAGTCAATCTGTAAAGTTATATAATGAAGAGAATTTGTGAACTATATAAGACAAAAATATACTTATGAATATAAAGTATGAAAATATGGCATAATAGAAAAATAGAGAAAAATAGAAGAAAAATAAAGTAATAATTTTAGGAAAATATACCTTGAGATAAATAATCAATTATTGCTGTCAGTCCCAGTTTACATATATCTAGAAAAGAATAATCAATATAAAAAGTATATATTCAATTGGAAATACATAACTCTTTGCCCTCTGTATTATTATAATAAAATTTCAGCAATACTAATAAAGAATAACTGTGCAATATCATGGATTGGATGTCAACTTAGAGGTTGATCTAAGGTTAAACACACCTTGCGAGACTTGAAGGATCTGGATTCGATCCTCAGTGATTAGGGTTATGCGTGTGCATTGGTCAAAAGTCTTATACTAAGGCTAACAAGTTATCCAGGGTTTCTTGGTTTGTAATGGTCAAGATCAGTCGGTGATGTAAACTATAAAATTCAAAAATCCCCACAAACCCCTTATAGTAATAATAATCATGTGCTCACTAGTGACTAAATTTGAGAGGTGATTCCTGATGTCTCATCGAGAAGCCGTGAATAGTGAGATTCAACCATGTCACGTGTAAACCGTTAGATGCTAAGTTGATGCTCTGCAATAATAATAGTACGAAGAAGAAAAAAGAAGGGAGTTTTCCTACTTTCCCTATTAAATTAATTTTCAAATGACATAGGTCATAATCAATATAAAAGTTCACTAGTTTGACATGTAACAATGTCTATTAGTTTATATATGCAACATTTCGACCATTGTAGCACAGAAATTATGGATTTCTAAATGTAGAGACATAATCAATTTACTGAAAACGATAGTTTGCTCGAGTACCTCTAGCAGTTAATTACTCAATTCGGAATCTTTCCAGATCGTTTTACTCTTCAAAAAGAAGAAAAACATGTTCATAAGTTGTACTGGAGCCCATATGGTCGGACCTTAGTATTAAAACATTAGTATTGTCTAGTCAAATTATTGATTAGTTCGCTCTAAGGATGTAGGCCAGATGAGCTATTTTATCAATATCTGAATGAATAATGAATAAATACCAAGACCTTAATGCTTGTCAGTCGTCCGACTAATTAATATCCAGTATCTAATCAAAAGAAGAAATTAGCAAACAGATAAAATCCTTATTTCACGGCTGTTTCCATATATGAGTGGACTCATACAACAATATGGTGTAATATTCTGTTCACACACCAACATAAATAAGAAATAAGTGCGCATAACTACACAGTATGTGTAAATGAAACTATGTGTCTGGTCCATAATAGATTAACAACAACCTCTTGCTCCAATTACTTCAATATTCTGACTAACTAGATAGTATCAAACTAGCCGTTCAAACAAACAGTTTGATTCAAAATTTGTATTTAACAACTGAATTACATTAGCTATTTTCTTTTTAATGAACAACATTGAGATTTCATGAGATTACACCCACCTGAAGTAGGATATTGTATATGATCGCAGGAAAGAGTTAATTCTTTCAAATCTTTCAAATAGCACAATTGTTTAGGTAAAGATGACAAAGGATTATTTTTCAAATAAAGTTTAGTAATATGTTGTAATTTCCCAAAATCTGATGGTAATTCAGTAAGACGATTATCTGTAGAATAATTAAAATAAATTTTCTTGACAAAATGTGAATATATTTTTGTTTCTTATATCTTGAAAGTAAAAGATTTCTGAGTAAACGATGTTATAACTACGACCTTGAGCGGTTTACTACGCAACCAGAAAAGTGTTTAGTTTTGAAGCAATTTGTGACGAACAGTAATAAAATTGCAATGGGATAAATAACTTTAATATGATAAATAAACAAAAATCTGTTAGGATTAAAAAATAGGAGCCCAGGTAGGAGTCGTGAGTTACTATTAGGAATGTTATTGTTAGAAGTCCGGGTTAAGAGTGTTACGACTGGGAGTTAGCAATGAGGATTAAGTTAAGGGTTCAGATTGTTAGAGTTAGAGAGTTTGTTTACCCCTAAAACACGTTTCTCTATGCTTTGGATCACTTTAATTACATTCAGATAGTCTGCATTAGGAGCATGTGTTTCTTGTAATTCAGTGTACACTCCACTTTGTATTCACTACATAGTCGCACAAAAGATACTTTTAACAGTTTCAAGTATTTGGGAAACTGAGTATAGACAATTTTACTTGCTTTTCAGTAAGATATATGTTATCTTTCACTGCGTTTTGTATTTTGAACACACTCTAATAGACGTCATCTTAAATTTGATTGGTTCCCTGAATATCATTGTTTTAATGCGGTTCAAACGATTTTTGACCATAAAACAATCGATATTTAGGAAAAATAAGATTTATTTAATTAAAAACAACTGAAATATTTTTAAGTACAATGAATATTAAGTGGACGTTTGCTTACAAATCTACAGTTCATTATTGAGTATCGAACATTTTGTTAAGTTAGTGGATTAATATTTACTTAACCTGAAATATTCGTTTATAATCTTACTTAATGAGAACGAAAGAAGGAAATAATAATAAACAACGTTATATCCACCGTATAAGTTAAAAGTTGCAGTGACTGTCACTAAATTGATAGTGAGTTAACTTTTCAAGCGACAAATGCTTGGTTTCGCATCTGTGTAAACAAAAATACTGAGATGCAACCTCAAATCAGATGGGACCTGAGTTCAATACTATGCATTATCTAAAATGCTTACAATTAACTTGTAGTCACAGAAAATATCGAGGCATTCACTCAAGGAACAAACATACCAACAGAGATTGGTTAGATGTAATCTCGAATATCAACAACGGGAAAACATAAAACCCATATACACACAAGAAAGAATATCACTCTAAGGACATGTGTGAACAACACTGGGAGAAAATAGTATAGCATAAAATTATCGTGAAAATCTTTATATTTCAATTTACCTTCAATGTTAAGAAATAAAAGTTGAGAAAGAGATGTGATGGTAGATGGTAATGTTGATAATAGATTTTTTGAAGCATTTAGAACCTAAACATATAATTTTAGGCTATTAATTTTACCGGAAACAATATAATCAAAATATTACCTGTAAACATTTCAACTCAGAAATATTATTAGGTAATTGTTGAAATTCATTTGAACTTATATCAAGCAGTACAATATTTTGAAGATATGTTAGTTTACCACCAGAATCAAGTTTTTGTAAGGAATTTTGTTGTAAATATAATTTTGTTTTTAGTAAAACTTTAACAAGGGAAAAAGTTCCTTCAGGAATCTAAATATTAATTGTAATCCTATCAAATATAAAGTATATATATTACCATTTTAAGTTCACACGAAGACAGATCAAATATATCATCTGGACGTTCTCGAGCCTAAAATTTATACAGATATAGAAAATAGAATAGGTATACAATCTCAAAAAGAAAATATTTGTAAATATATTACGAAATACTAAGAAATAAAAACACACTTAGAAAACTGGCAGCCTAATTTTAAAAAATTTAAACAAATATTTCTAATATCTCAAACGTATTCTCCACGTATATAGCTTAATAAGAAATACTTGACACAAAAATAATTGAGTTCAAATCACTACACTTACAAACAGTACAACACAGAAAGTACATATAAAAGGAGGAAGGTATTCAAGTCAACAAGGAAAATTTATAAGTATGATAGATTATTATCAATTTATTTACCAGGTACAGGCTTGTATACTTGATTTGAAGCTAAATTCTAAGTGTGAGGGTTAGTAGTGATAGTACACAATCAGTCGAACCGAAATAGACGGGAGTAGCGTTGGTACAGACTACATAGTGGCTGAGAGTCCAACACCCCGACTACTGAGCCACTGCTTTTCTGATAAGTATGAAGAAACCATTTGTCTGAAGTTCAAACGATGATTTTAATTGGGTGAATGTTTTATTTATTTATTTGAACACCTTAACTTCGGTACATGGGGGCACCAAATACACATGCACCATACAATAAAAATGAGGGTTTGAAAAGACAATAATAATTATTATTATTACATTATTATAGGAGAGGCAGATCAGTTAGGAAAAATATAACCAGAAAGTTCTATTAATTAGGGACGTTACACTCATTTTTATGAAGTGAATGAAAATTGCAGAAGGATAGCCGTTGGATTCTATCCTGAATCATATCTGATAACGTCTCAAGCCACTGTATTGCACCAATTTTAGGACCCAAACCAAAGAGTCGTGACGGACCAACAGATGACAGTCCTGTACAGCTTCATTTCATACCAAGACACCATGCGTTTACTAAATTTCAGAATTCACAAGAGGATTATTTTGATTCGTCATAGCAACACAGCATAGGAAAATCGATATTGCTGAAATTTTCTTGTGTTAAACTTAATTTTCAGTGAAGCTTTTTTTCGTCCAGACTATAATTTATGGACGAACCAGTCAGATATAAGATAACAGGTCTTGGCGTGAAATTCATTTGCCCATCTAGCTGTATAGCGTTTTGGCATTTTAGCTGATGTCAGTTCGTGATGAAAACTCTAAACCTAGTTCCTAATTATCAACTGTAACCTATAGTTCTAATTCCTCAAACTGCTTTACAAGTTATTTAGTCTTAGTTATTAGATGAAAATTCTCAGGGTCACTTCAGCGTCGATCACAGGTTGTTCACAAAGCATAGTCTCACTGTTTTTTTTTTGATGAACTGACTTTCTGACGTGCACGTTGGAACTAATGAAGCATACTTCGTGAGGGCCTGTCCGGTTTCATATGTACTTATTAGTGAGGACATAAATATTCCATCATCTGTAACTTCTTTTGATCGTCGTAAATGATAAATGTACACTGAACTTACAATTAAAATACGTAACGAGCATCTGTCTATCAATAGACAGATCAACAGTTGTTGATCTCCCAATAAACTTTGATATTATTTCTCGTTAATAAATATCTTAATCGATGTATCACTTTTTAATGTATTTGACAGCAGTCATCGTGTTATACGATGGAAATAAAGGTGAACATATGAGACACATGGGACTAGGCGAAAAGACCATTCGGTGGTATTTCAGACAGACAGCGACAAAAAGGAGAAATTCCGCATTATTTTTATGCGTTTCTTCTTGATTTTCTAACGGAATTTACATTTTATTTCCTCTTATTCGCCTTTATTTCCCTTTTACTGGTTACTTGAGCTACATTCATGTAACGATTTATAAATCGACAAATCGTTTATATTGCAATCAATGCCATCAGTTTTTTAATTGAATTTCTCATTTTAGGTAGCATTTGGTTTAAACCTACGAGGTACATTTTTTTCTCGAGCAACCGCCTCGATCCATCAGATTGCTTTTTAGAAAACATCAGTGACCTAGAATCGTAGACACCTTAACTGAAAATCCACCTCTCAAATGTATTCACTATTCACCACGTTCAAAGAAGTACTTAAGAGATATAGAAAGTATAATATTTACACTACTTTCATGTGTAAGCCATCGAAGCACTTCGAAAATACTTAGTGTAAGATTGGAAGTTCGTTTTTTAGATCTTACCTTTCATGAATCACAAATGCCTTGATATAACCCACTCGGGGTCTCACTTTGTCCACTTGTATGCTTATTTATTAATTTTTTTAATCCCACAACTGTGTGATTGATATATTGAGGACATTTTTATCAAAAGCTTAGTGAGTTCAACTTTTTTACTCGGTTGTCAAACTAGATATTTTCTCGTCTTTTCTTACCAGATTCTTTACATATGGATCTAAAGAAGATACTATAGCACATAGTGAAGCCTCAGAATAAACCTAAATCTACCAAAAGCTAGACCTCTCAATGATTCCACAATAATTTTTAAAACTTCTTCACATCAATTAAAATTAGTTACAAGTACTACATAACAAGACATCTTTTCAGAACCGAAAATGAAAAGGCTTGCAGGAAAATTTGTTCAGAATTTCATGTGGTCGAAAGTAGTAGACAACGAAACGTCTCAACAAAAGTAATAGGAGTGGAACTTAAGTAGAATCGTTTGGAAAAAATTGGTGTTTCGATTTTCAGTAGCAAGCATAGTATGTCAGTGCCCCTAGTTAATACTTCCGGTGAAGTTCCAGCTTCGCTGATGAGGCTGATACAACTTGTCTGGGTAAGGTGTCTTAGTCATTAACTACTCAATAAGAAATAAAGAACCCCACTTTAAGTTTATCAGATCGCGGTTTGTGAACTTTTTTGATATGACCTTGGAGATTATCAGAGCTGGAGGAAGCAAAATAATAAGATATATTAACACCCGGATCGTAATTAAAGATACAAAATGGCAGTGAAAAGTCACTGAGAATCCCGGGGTACGACAAGGGGAAAAGATTTAGGCATTTTAAGTGCGTCTTTATGTTCCTGAATGTGCCATTCATAGTATACTGGTATTTATTACCGTGTACGACGTGCATGAGCACACTCTTCCTAGAAATAACTTCTAAGCCTCAACCTTAAGCCCATCTAGTTGATTCGTTCAGGTCAACTCAGAGATCGAAATGATCAGCCTCACTTCTGACTGTTCCCCAGATTTTGACATCATTCGCAAACAATAATGTCGACGACTTAAGCAATCACGGCATTTTATTAACGTAGAGAAGAAAGAGTAGGAGACTTGATATAGTGCATTAGGGTACATCACTTTTGACCAGTTTCCATTCGGATAACGTTCCATTAACCTGCACTCTCTGTCTGTGATCACACAAGAAGTTTTCTCACCATTCCTGTACATCACCTGTTATCACGAAGCTCGAGAGATTCTGCATATAACCTTTTTGTGAAAACTTGTCAAACGCTTTGTTAAAGTCTATGAATATCACATTGACAGACAGACCGTTATCTAGGGATGCCGTCTAATCCTCTCTCGCTATAAGTTAGTTGAGCATGAATGCTTGTTTCAAAACCCGTGTTACTCGGGAGTTAACAAATTGTAAGAATCTATGTGACTTGGCAAGTTAACCCGAATTATCTCAAATAAATTAAGGACTATGCTGGTAAGACTGGAAAGTCGGTAGTTAGATACGATCTGTCTCTGACCATCCTTAAATATAGGACTGACTATAGCGTCCTTCCAATCTCTAGGGAGTTGAGCCAGTGAAAGGGATATGTTGAAAGGCATCGCGAGTGATCTTGAAATGATGTCCGCGAGGGATGACGGTAGTCGTGGATGTAACCCATCAGGGCCTGGCATCTTAAAGGTTTGAGGTTAGTGACCAATAGAAGAAAAGATTCCTCAGTCACCTGTACAGATTCCATGTTTGGTATCTTGATGTGATTGGGACAAGTATTTGTAACAATACACATAGAGTAAACTTCGCTAAAATAGTTTGAAAAGTCTCAGCTTTTGCCCGATCTGGTTCAGCTAGTAAATCCGGGCCCTCTCTTTTACAAAACCACAAATTCTTCAAAGCTCTACTCCTTTTCGTGCATTATGATCTTATCGGCGACTTCCACCCCTTTATTCTGTAGTTCTATTGGCAAGCATGAAACTATTATTTCCAAATTAGCCGTAAAATTAACATCAGACATGTAGCCCATTTCCTTAACATTATACATACATTACGTAGCTCAATCGCGAATTCGGTTAAGACGTCAGCTGATCCTCTAACAGATTTGTGGCTCAATAAATCAGTAACCAGTTCTCATACAACAAGGTGCTCCTTACCAAATAGGTCATATAAAATTCGTTTAGCTCTATCATAACCCAAATTACTGGGCAAAGAATTGTAAGCTTCATTAGTCGTCCTGATCTTTCCTTTGCAATCATATAACAAATACGACAACATTTAGACCTTATCGGACAGCTTACTTTCGATAATGCTGCTAAACTGACTAATAAAACGGCAGGACTGACTTGGTTGTCCATCAAAACACATATCAACATTATGTAAAGCCATATTATTAACCAAAGTATGTAACATATCCTTCAAGTCATCAACACAGTCGCCCTTAGAGATGCTAATATCTCCCTTGAATGATTATTACAGCCAGTATATCAATCCAAATTCCTTTCCACTTTAGCATTTTCCTCACATTTGTCTATGGGCAGCTGGTTATCGTCCTCTATGACCTTACATTCTTATTCAGCCATATCAAACACTTTTTGGACATCTAACATCTTAAGCTGCCATTCTAACCCAGATCTCTTTTCTAAATTCTTCTTCCTCAGTAATGTCCAAAAAATCTAAGGTATGAAGACCAAAAACTGAAGGACTTTATGTTACGTCCAAGTTTCTTCTCGTTCCCGTTATTGAAGCACGGTATATCCATCACAGTTCACTCGCGATTTACAAATAGTCGACTTAAATGTCGTTCATCAATTTAGTAGGTTACCGGAGCGAAAACTCCCAACTACAAACTAACGACAAAGAGAAACTAAAATGTCCAAAAATAATGATATAAAGAAGCAAGTCCAGAAGTTGATTAAAACAAATATATCCGAAAACATAGTGAAATTGAGACTACTTAATATAAAGGTTTTAATCAGCTAAATGTCTTCAGTACTCCCGTAACACTGATAGACCTAGTCCAAAAATTGTAGATTTGTTATGATGTAATTGCCTATTCTATAGGATATTAAGTGAAAGTCACATCATCGTCTATCATGATTCATCGCGTTGTGACAATTATCAATATATGATGAAAAACACATTTAGACTAAAGATAGAACAATATATCTAATATGGATAAGAACACGCCTGCAAAGCCGAGCCATGCCGTCCGATCAATTCGAATTAATTCAACTCTGTTCGTGCATTCTCCATCGTTGGATTTTTCTCCGCGTTAAGTGTTGAATATTTATTTTCTCAGTTATTTCGTGTTCACTTTTGAGGATTGTGTGAGTAGGACTATCACCTTACACTACTCTCCAACCAGAATCAACATGATGTTGGTTCGATATCAAATTAGATCCGATAGTCGTGCATCGGAGGTTAGTAAGAATAACAAGGATCTTCCGTGTATTGACCAGCTGAAAAATGAACCAAACAAAAAGGCGGTAGCAACTTATACAAGGCGCTTAGATCCATACAAACCTGTCTGATATGATATCAGAACTGGAGTTTTGAATGTGTGCACGAACTTTCTTTACTTTTTCTTCTGGTTATCATCTTCAAGTGTTAATTGGCCTAAGACAGACTAACCACTGATATGGTTGAAGGTATTTTATAACAATAGTACGTTAGCTTCCTACCACCGACCGATTTCTCTTATCTTTACAGTTATAGTTTTAAATTGACCCTCCTTGATTACCTACTTGATAACCCTTTAGATTCTGGCTCACATGGCTTTCTTCTATTCAAGTCACTTCACACAGACATGTTGACTTGCTGGAATATCCACATTGTCAAACTGAAACACAACCATCCTATTGATACCAACCTTCAAGTTACCTCAAGTTATTTGACAGGGTTGACCGTAACATCCCTCTAAGAAAGCCAAAGTTTGTAGGAATAAGTGTGTGTTTGATTACGTGGCTCTCATATAACCTAAACGGGAGACTGCAAGCTGTCAGAGTGGTTTCAACTGACAAGTGTGATGCCACAAGGCTACCCCTTTCCCTATTGTTCACTAAGAACCGACCTAACTCTTTCGACAATCAGATTTCTCCTTAAGCAGATGATTGTATGATTCTTAGGGAGATTCTTGGTTTTTTAAGGAAACCCTTAATAAGATACTTGACTGGACCGACAAAATTTTCTCCTTTCCAATACTTGTAAATCCAGAATCCTAATGATGAACGGTAATGACATTTCGTTCACTTCACGATATCTGGGCGATTCGTTTTTCACACTGTTTATCACTGTGAACGAATCACGTGTTACTCTTCGTGATACTCTAGATGTCTCTTATCAAAAATGCGCAACCAATGAGGCTTACTTTCAAATCAATTGTTTTGTCCCTTGGTTTCTAGGAGGGATATAAAAAGAACCATATTTTCCCACTGTCAAAACGTTCTTTTAATATACATACTCATTTTCAAGTAAACGTTTGACGATTCTATTAAAAAACGTTTGAAAGCCCGATATTTAGAAAGATGCCACAAGTGTTGGGAGTTTGACTACATCTTCACCAGCAAAATCTTTTGCAATCGAAAAGTGCCAACTCAATGAAATGAGAAGCTAATTGGCTCGAAGATATGTTTGATAGAATATCAAGTTGGTTAACGGTTGTAAGACAAGTGCGGAGTACTCACTGGTGATCTGTTGCGGGTGCGTGATCAAGCGACTTCAGCTGAATCAGTCTGTTAATACTAATGCGGCAGGGATTTTTGTACTTGTTGTGATTATACTTGCTTTGAGTACTTATTGCACCAAAAAGCATTCTTGGTCTACT